GCATCCCAAAGAAAGCACGCCCCCCCCCCTATGTTGAGACACACCCCCCAATACTGCAAGTTATTGGGGGGAATTTTTGTGGTTGCCCAGCTGGCCCAGCTTCGTCGCAGGCCCCGCAAGGGTGGGGTCTCAGCAGATCGGCTGGAGGCGGGTTGGCGGCCGTCGGAGAAGCCAGCAACCACAAGTGGCTCACCAGTTTGGGTTAAAATTCTTACCCATAGTTCATCTCTAAGCATCGCAAAGAAAACTCACTTTAAATTCGCCCACAAGGGGATGTTTAACCCCCGCCCTCAAGGGGAAATGGAGTTGCAACCCTGGTTTCCCTTTTCAGACGAGGGCTGACCAAGTTTAAGCAGTCGGAACCAACTTATCATAGACTCCCTTGCTTTCCCCAAGGCGTGGCCACTGGGTTGTGTTCTTGAGGTCAATACCCGGCTCTCATATTTCCCCCCGGATCAATCTGCCTGGTGGATTGACGGGCTGTTTCCCCAAGTAAAGGACTTGTAAAGGGAACAACCCCCTTTCAATCGACCAGGCTTAGTAGTCCTGGGTGAAATCGGTCAAAAGCTTTGGCCTGACCGACAATGAGAGCCCCAAAGCCTTTGAGGTAGGGTCCACCTAGTCAAGTGGGAATAGCAAGGCAAAATAAAGCAGTCTGGGAACAGCTCTAGAAATGGTTGACAACCTCTAGCGTCCCCGTTTCGTGCTGTTTTTTAGACTGCGGTTTCAGGTAAGCCTTACGTGGTGGTTTGGATTGGTGGTTTGGGAGTTTGAGCCCCTGGTTCTCGTAGAGGGTAAATGGGAAACCACTTCAGGCCCTTCAACACCACCAATTGGTATGAAGCTGACTTGTAGAATCAACTAAACTTTGTTTTTTAGTTGGTTTAATACTGGTAGTTTCCATGTCATCCGCTGAAATAGTTATGCACTTTCAGCAGGGGATCTGAAACCGGACAGCCCAGAAACATGTCTTCAGGATTTCTTGCAGCCCAGTACAACCCAGAAACACCCCAGCGAAAGCTTGTGCCAGAAAGCCAAGCGAGAGCCCAGAAAAACCGAGGGACCCCGCCGGTCTGGTCTCAGTCGGCCCAAGTGTCCGCCAGGTGCAGCAGGAGCTGTTGCTCGCCCGGGAGCGCTGCCGGCGTGCTTTTGCCGGGGGAGATGTTTGGTCGGGTAGGAATAGAAACGGGGGGTTTCTCCCGGCGTACCGGGCACCAAGACCTTGATTGCTATTGGATGTTGGATCTTTGGACTTCAACTTTTTGGTTGAGATCAAGGGGCTTTTCATTGAAAGAACCCCTCAAACCATGAGGAACCCAGTTTCATTGAAATCAAATCAACCAAGAATCCAGCGGGTTTTCCCATTGATACGGGCTTCCTTTGGATGAATTGTTTGCCCTGTGGCAAGGGCAATCATGTACAGAGGGGGGGGGTGTTTCAGCTTTCAGGGTGAGGATGTTGCGAGTGACCGTCAGTTGGCCTTGAATGCGCATTTGCCAAACGTGGGGCAGAATTGGTTGTAAGAACCAGACTCTGGTCCCTTACAGGAACCCAGAAGAAGGTTCTTTGAACCAGTCGGCTTAATTCAACTTGCTTAAGCCAGGGATTGACTCGCCCACCCCGAAAACGGGGCAAGTTTGTAATTACCCCCGCCCCGACAAGTGACCATTCTTCATCTCCCTGGTGGTTTCCCTCAAGCGGCTTCAAACGACCAGCGCCGGCACAGGCGGGCCGCGGAGGCCCTGGACGCCGCGGAGACCCAGGAGATGCGCGCGGAGGAGCCGGGAGCCCAAATTTCTGAGGCGCGAAAAGCGGTTCGGTGGCCTGAAATGGGCGTTTCAAGAGGAAACCCGCTAGTTTTTGGAGGGTTTCCTCAAAGAAGAGGACGTGAAATGGGTATGTGAAGGGGAGATTTTAGACCAGATGGGCATAGGTGTCCTTTTTGGTTGATTTGGTTTGAAAATGGGTCGGGCGATTCCTGGTTTACCTGGTGGCTCAATCAACCAGGGCCATCTATATTCAACCAAAAAGGACACCTCTGTTCATGGGCGTTTCAAAGGGGGAACCCGCTAGTGGAGGGTTCCCTCAAAGAAGAGGACGTGAAATGGGATTGTGAAGGGGAGATTTTTGACCAGATGATGGGCATAGGTGTCCTTTTTGGTTGATTTGGTATTGAAAGTAGGTTGGGCGGTTCCTGGTTTGCCTGGTGGCTCAATCAACCAGGGCCATCCATATTCAACCAAAAGGGACACCTATGTTCATGGGCGTTTCAAGCGGGGAACCCGCTAGTGGAGGGTTTCCTCAAAGAAGAGGACGTGACATGGGTATGTGAAGGGGAGATTTTAGACCAGATGGGCATAGGTGTCCTTTTTGGTTGATTTGGTTTTGAAAGTAGGTTGGGCGATTCCTGGTTTACCTGGTGGCTCAATCAACCAGGGCCATCTATTTTCAAGCAAAAGGGGCACCTATGTTCATGGGCGTTTCAAAGGGGAACTCCGCTAGTGGAGGGTTTCCTCAAAGAAGAGGACGTGAAATAGGTATGTGAAGGGGAGATTTTGGACCAGATGGGCATAGGTGTCCTTTTTGGTTGATTTGGTTTTGAAAGTAGGTTGGGCGATTCCTGGTTTACCTGGTGGCTCAATCAACCAGGGCCATCTATATTCAACCAAAAAGGACACCTCTGTTCATGGGCGTTTCAAAGGGGGAACCCGCTAGTGGAGGGTTCCCTCAAAGAAGAGGACGTGAAATGGGTTTGTGAAGGCGAGATTTTTGACCAGATGATGGGCAAAGGTGTCCTTTTTGGTTGATTTGGTTTTGAAAGTAGGTTGGGCGGTTCCTGGTTTACCTGGTGGCTGAATCAACCAGGACCATCTATTTTCAACCAAAAGGGACACCTATGTTCATGGGCGGTTCAAGCGGGGAACCCGCTAGTGGAGGGTTTCCTCAAAGAAGAGGACGTGAAATGGGTATGTGAAGGGGAGATTTTGGACCAGATGATGGGCATAGGTGTCCTTTTTGGTTGATTTGATTTGACAAATTGGTTAGGCGATTTCTGGTTTACCTGGTGGCTCAATCAACCAGGGCTATTTTCAGCCAAAAAGCACACCCATGTTCATGGGCGTTTGAAAGGGGGAACCCGCTAGTGGAGGGTTCTCTCAAAGAAGAGGACGTGAAATGGGTATGTGAAGGGGAGATTTTTGACCAGATGATGGGCATATGTGTCCTTTTTGGTTGATTTGGTTTTGAAAGTAGGTTGGGCGGTTCCTGGTTTACCTGGTGGCTCAATCAACCAGGGCCATCTATTTTCAAGCAAAAGGGGCACCTATGTTCATGGGCGTTTCAAAGGGGGACCCCGCTAGTGGAGGGTTTCCTCAAAGAAGAGGACGTGAAATAGGTATGTGAAGGGGATATTTTGGACCAGATGATGGGATAGGTGTCCTTTTTGGTTGATTTGGTTTGAACATGGGTCGGGCGATTCCTGGTTTCAACTATTTTCAACCAAAAAGGACACCTATGTTCATGGGCGTTTCAAAGGGGGAACCCGCTAGTGGAGGGTTTCCTCAAAGAAGAGGACGTGAAATGGGTATGTGAAGGGGAGATTTTGGACCAGAGGTGTCCTTGTTGGTTGATGTGGTTTGAAAATGGGTCAGGCGATTCCTGGTTTACCTGGTGGCTCAATCAACCAGGGCCATCTATTTTTAACCAAAAGGGACACCTATGTTCATGGGCGTTTCAAGCGGGGAACCCGCTAGTGGAGGGTTTCCTCAAAGAAGAGGACGTGAAATGGGTATGTGAAGGGGAGATTTTGGACCAGATGATGGGCATAGGTGTCCTTTTTGGTTGATTTGGTTTGAACATGGGTCGGGCGATTCCTGGTATACCTGGTGGCTCAATCAACCAGGGCCATCTATTTTCAACCAAAAAGGACACCTCTGTTCATGGGCGTTTCAAAGGGGGAACCCGCTAGTGGAGGGTTCCCGCACAGAAGACAAATTGAGATGGCTATGTGCCAAAATAAGGATTTGGACGCCACAAATGGTGGTGTTCCCCTGTTTTTTTTTGTCTTTGGCGCAGGCTGATGTTAACGAGAACCGCCACCAGCTTGCAGTGTACAAGAGGGGGAACCCGCTGATACGCAGGTTTTTAGTGGTACTTTGAGCTTTGACCAAATGAGAATCAAACCCGGGAACTCGTAGTTGATGGGTAAGGAACAGTGGCAGCCCAACCTAGTTGCGGAGATCCGCCCTCACGATTCTGGACATGGGTTTGGGTAGACCATTCCAGGGTTCCTTGAAGTGGTTTCATCTTGAGAGGTCCTGAAGATTGCCTTTGGGTACAAGGTGGTTTCCCTTTCAACCGACACAATGATGAACCCAGTTGATTTCAACTTGCTCTGGTGGAACCTATGCAACAAGTTTAACAACTACATATATATATATATACATTAATTCGTATTAGAACTATGATTGCTCGTATTGCTAGTTTTTGCACTGTTACAGTGCTATTACTAGTACTAACGCTACTAGTAGCTAGTATTATGATTACTAGTATTCTTATTATTACTACTATTATATGGTCAGTATCATGCCTATCATGATTGTCAATATCATCATACTATTCATCACAATTATCATATCTACTGTTTATAGTTTGTTTTGTCTTGTTGTTGGACTTCTTAGTGTTACAATATATTATGTTACGATATGCTATGTTCTGTTGTATCATGTCGTGTGATATCATATCATCATATACTATATTATGGTATAGCATGGTATGTTTTACCGTATCGTATTTTTATATATATATATATATCCTTGTATACAGTGTGTTTTATTATATCATGCTATGCTGTATTATATTGTACTACATTGTATAATATGGTATTCTACTGTATTGTAACATGTTATTGTATGCTATGTTGGATACTATATTAGAGGTATGCAGAACTACGTGTATACACATAGTAGATAGACACACAGATACATAGATCGTATATCTACATATATATCTATATCTATATATAGATATATACACATACACGCATCGGCTGCAGACGCTTCGTACTTTTTACACGGACAACCAAATCCACTATTGTAGGGGGTGGCCATGTATATATATATATATATGCACATAGCATGTCAATAACATTACAGTATGTGCCATGTATAGCACAAAGGACAAATCGGACCTAAGTAGGACGACACCTGCTGACATAGCCAGACCTGTTGTTGCTTCGTGCGTTCTTTGTCATCCGTGACCACCAGCAGTCCCCTTTTTCGAAGATCGTGTTAGTGGTGGTTGGTCTGAACACCCGTCATGCGGGTACATACGCTGGTGCCAACACCCCGGTTTCCACTTCGGAGAAAGTACGAAGCAAAATCCCCTCTCAGGAGTCGGGGGTGCAACCATGGAAAGTTTTATCCTGTGAGGCTGCAAAAGATCAAGAACGCGCTCACGCTGCAATTGACGGAGCAGCAAAGTGTCAGCCTTGGAGCACGGGTTTGTTTGAATGGGATGGGGGGGGTGTCCGCATAGCCTAAGATGCTGATGGCTTGGGCCTTGTCACGAAAGCTATGCTAGCGGGAGTTCTCTAAGCTTTAGCTTCTTCTTTTTTTTAAGGGGCTGATCTTCCAACGATGCCTGGTTTAATCGCCTGATTCGCAAGACCAAATCCTTACAGGGCACCCCCCCCCCACCTGGGGTTCAATTCCCCCTTGTGCCGCCCCCGGCACGCGCGTATTCCCATACATAATCTTGTCCACATGTTTGCAGCTGGGGAACCTGTTTTTCTAGACTGGTCCTAATATCCTAGCAACTCCTGAGTCGTACATGTCGTCGTTGGGCTGGCTAGGCTAGCTTTCGTTCACCCGCCTCATATGGGCCATTTCAGCATGCTACTTGATTTAATCGGGAACATAGCAAGGCCTATTTGAACCTTTGCCACTACGTTGGTAGAGCCAAAAGTCAGCTTGGGTTTTGGGCCTTGTCTCAACCGGCTTGTACAATAGATAAACCAATCGAACATGTGTATCGGCAATATTAGGAGCACGTTGGAGACTGGAACATGAAGTAGCAACCTAAAAAAGGGGCGAAGAACACCCGCACACACACACACACAATACCTGAAGACTCCAGCTGTCAAGGAGCTCGAAGCAAATCACAGATAGCAGCAGAAAGCAAACTAGACAAATCATGCCAACCTCAATCTCCACGCGACATGACAAAACGTTCAACGCGGATCTTATCATCCCATGGTTTATCTCAAGTTGGGTTGTCTGAAAATTCTTACGTTTCCTCATGGTTTATCTCAAGCTGAAAAGCCCCTCCTACAACCCGCTGCAAAGGTTGGCCTTCCTTTGCTTTCCCTTTCAACACCAATTCCCGCAGGTGGCCGTAGGTATGGTCGCAGTCCAGCCGTTTTTGTCAGAAACCAAGACACGTGACCCTTGAATCAGACCCCTTAACTGGAGTCATGTTTGTCAAATGTGTCTTGCTTGAAGTTTGCATTCTGGCTGATGGAGGTTGTCAAACACAGAGTCAAGCAACTCAGGGCACCCTGGTTTCACACTCATTAATGGCAAAACTCAATAAAAATAGCTGCAAATTTGGTAGATGTTTGAAGTTGAAGATAAGGGGTTTGGGGTAAGCGGGAATTGTTTCTGATTTTGGAAGGTCTTGGGGTCCTGCAGTGAGTTTGCGGCTCTCCTTGAAGACAAGTTGCCACATGTGTGTGTGTGTGTGTGTGTGTCGTTTTGAGGTTTCCCTTTTGGAGGGGTTTTGAAGGGAAACCAAAAGAAACCGACTATTTTGGGGGGTCCCCTGAAAAAGATACACCCCAAGTATTGTCCTCCCTGTGGCACTCACAAAAACAGTGTGTGTGTGTGTGTGTCAACTAAAAGGGTGGGCTGCTTCCAAAGCCATTCGGGTTTGCGCCAAGGGAGGGAGTCCGAGCTTGAGACCGAGCTGGAGACCGCGCGAGGTGTGTGGTGGGAGGGGGGGATTTCAGCTGAAGGTGCGCCCATTTTTCGGGTTCCCCGATTTCGAGAGAAAACCACAGGTTCTCCAAACGAGTTGCGAAATATTATGGAACTGTGCTTACCTTGTTGCCGTTTCTTTGGGCACCAAACAAGGGCCTTTTTGTTTCCCCCCTCTTCGCATGGTGGGTTTTCCCTTCTTACTCTTGGGTTGATGTGTGTGGCTCAAAATTCAATCGCTGGGTTTACGCAAGTGTTAATCTTTGGTTTAATTTACCAAGGCTCGCCATTTTGGAATTCAATTTTTGAGCCACCATGTGTGTGTGTGTGGCACCTGTCCTTTCTGATTTCTTCCGGCATCGCAGGCTCAGAGTCAGAGCTGCGAGGAGAGCTGGAGCGATCGAGCCGTCAAGGCACCGTGAGCCCAAAACCCCCCTGATGACGGTCGTTTTAGTTGGTCGTAGGGGCCCTAGCCTTAGACTTTCAGAGCTCAGACAAGCGGAACCTTTTAGAAAGGGATCGAAGGGAGTTGTTCTTCCTGGTGTGATCGGGGTTTCGCGCTGCAACCGAGGCCGATTGAACCACGATGGTTAAATGCCCATACAAACCATTCTGACAATGTCAGTAGAACCCAAAGATAATCAAAGATAATGGGTTTTCGGCGCTGCTCAAATGGGGTGGTATCCCATAGGTGGTTTCCCTCGCGCTGGCCCGAACCACTCCCTCAACGGCAGTGTGTGCTATGAAACATTGACTTGATGGCAACTCGGGAAAACGCTTATTTGTGTGTTGGGAGAGGAAGGCTGCGCCTGACAATTTTGATGCGTTGAGCCGGGCAGTCACTATTTGTTCACCCATGGATGTCACTAGATCATTTGCGAGGAACCGCCACGACACCATGGATGGCTGGCAACAGACACAGGATCGTGGCTCACGCGAGACAAAGCCAGCGTCGGAGATTCTCTTTGCTTCAAGCGGGATTGTGTGACTGGACCCACAGCACAACAGGGTTGCTCCGGAGCCTTTCAAGGACTACCCCCAGGACAGTTGGTATGGCTCAGGCGCCAACTTTCCACCTTGAGGCCGTGGGCTCCCTGAAAAGCGACTCAACTTGTTGTGATCCCGTTTTGTATAGGTAACCAAGGGGTTTCCCAACCGTTTTTTTTGAGCCAACAGGATCATGGCGAAAGGTTACTTGTAGTGTGCAATGCCTGGGCTCATTGCACGCTTGGGGGCTTGAGGCGCAGATGTGGCAGCTGCAGGCGGGAGATGTGTGGAGAGGGCGGGTAGCCGAGTTGGACCAGTCCTATTGTGTCTGGGGCCCAAACTTGTCTTAACGAGCAAGGGATCCGGGAATCTTGAGGGAGGAATGGTTCGCATGAGAATGGCAATGGGAATAATTTGGCAAGAGAGTGGCATGGGAATAATTTCCGGCTGGCTCGCAGGGCATGAGGGAATGACCGCTAATCTTGACCCCAGATCAATCAACTCGTCCTTTCCGTATGACGGGAATTTGCAGGTTCATTCTGATTCTCTGAGCAACAGCAAGTTTATCAGGATCATGCGACCCTCGGGGTAAGATGAGAACAACGAACATGCACTATGCACGCCTGTCTTATGGATCGGTTCTGCCCGAGATGTCGGGGAGAACAACGCCTGGGGTCATTGGTGTGATCTGGGGTTGGGATGCTTCGCACCATGACTGGGTCCGACATAGTTCCTTTCGGCCCCCCAGAAATTTGTGGTTTCCCCCGTGGTGTGTATTCTCCTGTGCTGTGAAGTCGCTTCTCGGACGAATGTAGATGGCACAACCCTGTTCTGGTTTCATCGTCCCCCTAAACTACCTGGGTGTGTCTGTTGTTGAGGCTCGGTCCTGGGTAATGACCCTCTTTTTGTGGTTTTGAAAGGGAAACCCAAGGACAACCTCTATGAGTTGCTAAAACATGCCAGACCCACCTAAAGGGAACATCTCCAACCAGGTGATGGCGTGCCTTTGGTTTCCCTTCGGAACCACCTGCAAAAGGGCACGCACCGCAACAAAAAAACCACCCATGCTTTTTCTGCTTTATCCCTGTCATTCCATGTTCCTACTTACATAACACACATGAACATACCGCACCTAATCATAAGCCATACGTAAGGTTTGTTTTTGGGGTACATCCACTGGATGGCCCGCCGTGGAACCTATTTGTACAAGACGTGTCTTTCCTGGTTGTGCGGTTTACTCACACACCAGCTGTGTGTTTTCAATCTACCGCATGGTGAGATGATTTTATTTGAGCCGTCGGCAAGTTCCATATTGGGTTCTGACTCCTTCTCCGCTTTTCGTTCCGTTTCCCGGTGCTTGGGCTAGGTGCCCCCAGTGGTGCCCTTTTACTGATTCTTTGTTGGGGGAGGGTTCCCCTGCTAAAAAAGACCGAACAAGTTGGTACCCTAAGCTCTAACCTCTCCACTGGACTGAGTAGGCCTTTGGTTTAAAAATTTTCCGTCTGGCCCTTCGGGCCCTGCGGGCCCTTCGGGCTCAGGGGAGCTGGAGACTCAGCTACTGGCACTGCGAGGCGGGTGAAGAAGTCACACCCAGAAATGGCCGCCTTTTGGGTCAAGGGAAATCAAAGGAATACCCCGAGCAGTTGGAGACCTTTGCTTTGCTTTTTTTTTCTCCGCTTGCCTGGGTGAGACGAGTGGGTTCTGTAGTGGGTCCAGAGGGTCACCTCGTGCACCAGATGGGTGGGGTGGCTTGAAGCCACCCGAAGGATACCCCGCAAAAGAAAGGCCATTTAGATTTCAGGCGAGCTCCCGAGAAAAGAAGCAGTGTGTTTGATTAGGGATTAGGGCGGTACTCGAACCAGCAGTTGTGCCTTTGAACTCCTTTCTTTGCTTTACGACAGCTGAGAAATCGGTCAACTTTCGAACTTTGGCCGAATTCTTTGGTGTATCTGTGACCTGCAAGGGACCGGAATGGTTGGGGTTTCACATTCCAACTCACGGTTGGCTTTTGCCTTCTGTATTTGGTTTCCCCACAATGGTTGGTTGCTCTCAAATGGTTGGTTTGCCAGGTGGGTCTATGTGTTTGTGTCTCTGTGTTTTTGTGTTTTTGCGTGTCTGTGTGTCTGTGTGTCTGCGTGTCTGTGTGACTGTGTGTCTGTGTGTCTGTGTGTCTGCATGTCTGTCTGTCTGCATGTCTGTGTGTCTGTGTTTCTGCATGTCTGTGTGTCTGCATGTCTGTGTGTCTGTGTGTTTGTGTGTCTTTGTGTCTGTGTGTCTGTGTGTCTGTGTGTCTGTGTGTCTTTGTGTCTGTGTGTCTGTGCGTCTGTGTGTCTGCATGTCTGTGTGTCTGCATGTCTGTGTGTCTGTGTGTCTGCATGTCTGTGTGTCTGCGTGTTTGCGTGTCTGTGTGTCTTTGTGTCTGTGTGTCTGCGTGTCTGTGTGTCTGCATGTCCGTGTGTCTGCGTGTCTGCATGTTTGTGTGTCTGCATGTCTGTGTGTCTGTGTGTCTGTGTGTCTTTGTGTCCTTGTGTCTGTGTGCCTGTGGCCTGTGTGTCTGTGTGTCTTTGTGTCTGTGTGTCTGCGTGTCTGCGTGTCTGTGTGTCTGTGTGTCTTTGTGTCTGTGTGTCTGCGTGTCTGTGTGTCTGCATGTCTGTGTGTCTGTGTGTCTGTGTGTCTGTGTGACTGTGTGTCTGTGTGTCTGTGTGTCTGCATGTCTGTCTGTCTGCATGTCTGTGTGTCTGTGTTTCTGCATGTCTGTGTGTCTGCATGTCTGTGTGTCTGTGTGTCTGTGTGTCTTTGTGTCTGTGTGTCTGTGTGTCTGTGTGTCTGTGTGTCTTTGTGTCTGTGTGTCTGTGCGTCTGTGTGTCTGCATGTCTGTGTGTCTGCATGTCTGTGTGTCTGTGTGTCTGCATGTCTGTGTGTCTGCGTGTTTGAGTGTCTTTGTGTCTGTGTGTCTGCGTGTCTGTGTGTCTGTGTGCCTGTGTGCCTGTGGCCTGTGTGCCTAGGTGTGTGTGAGCTGGGGTTGTTTGTCCATGCTGTCCAGCGTGGCAGGCTTGGAGTCAGAGCTGCGCAAAGAGCTGGCAATGGAGCGGAGCCGTCAAGGCTGTTTGGTTTGCAAGCCGGCCATATGTGAGATGTAGATTCTACTGAGCCGTGTTGACCCCGGATGAAGAAACCCAGCCTATCAAAAGGGGGGGGTGCTCCAAACGCGATGATTCCCCACTAAACCCAGGTGTCAGGGAAGCTGGGGTTGACATTGCACGGTTTTGGGGGCAATCAAAGCATCCCATCGGGTTTGGGGGTATCTTCAGTTCGGGCGGGGGGTGGGGGTGGGGGTTCGAGTCTCTGAAAGATGATTCCAACACAAGCCGGTGCTGCGAATCTCAAAATGCCAAAACCACCTGTGGTGGAAGAATGGTATCACCCTTCCTCCCAAATATAGCATGTATAAAAGGGTGCCTAGAAGATTAATGTCCTTGTCAAGGGACGCTCAGGTGCCATGTTGGTGGAAGGGAGGGTAGGTCAACTATTTTTCTTTTCGAGGAACCAATTTTCGAGCCAAGGGTTATTGGGGCACTGGTTCCAAGAGGATTTCCACCAACCACTCTCCTTGCAGGACATCGCCCAAGATGAGGTGTCTTCTCATTTTTTTGGGGGGACGAACCCGTCCTTTCCTCTTTCTGCTTGGATTACCGGAACTCATTGATGTTGAGGGGATGAAGGCTGGACATATGATCAGGAGCACAAACATCTTAAGGTCGAATACACATTCCAGCCTTCGCTGGATGAGTTATGTCACGAGCCATGTCAAGGGACTTATCAAAAAAAGTCCTCGAGCTCATCTTGGTGGTTCCCAGCCATCCCCTTAGCTTGTTAGACTTTTAGTGTTTAGTGGTAGTTTTCCATTCAATCCCCTAAAAGTTAAACTTTTAGCGGGGGATCTGAGGGCGGCCCAGTCATGGATGGCTATCCGAAGGTCGGATGCGTGTCAGAAGTAGCACCCCTGCACAAGGCGACGCAGCGGACGTGGCTGCACCTGCCCCGGAAGGCGTCCAGAGATGGGTGCCGCGGTTGCTTGAAACCAAGTGGGAGCCCAACAAGTAAGGTCTCAAGGTTTACTACATATCTCCAGACATGACGCACCTCCCCTCCATGACAAGAACCCTGTCTCCCTGCCTGGGCAAATTGAAATGAGCTGGGGTCGAACGAAACCCATGAAGTGGGAGAGTTCCGATTTGTGAATTATTTAATCCCAGATCATTTGGCGCTGCTTTCCAAGTCATTCCGATGAGTAAATTGAGGCTCAATCGAAGTTTCGGGACTGCGAACGGATCAGTGGAACACGTTTGATATCCCGGTCCTCGGCCTCTTGAAGCTCTCAGACGCAAGACGCAAGATGGCCCCTTGATAGCTTGATGGTTTCGGAAGTCCTGCAAAACCCGGGTTGTCGCCCCCCCGGAAAGGCCCTGAGAACAACATGAGCCCAGGAAGCCCGCGTTGGGAAGAACCTTGGTCCTTTCTTCTTTTTCTTTTTTTTTTTGAGGGGGGTGGTGGAGAGCCGCCCTGTTTTCAGGTTCATCTTGCAGGGCGAACCCCAGCTTCAGGTTGATGCCTCGACCCCCAATCAGGCAACTTCACACCGCTGGCCTACGAAGCCAGTTCTGTTTGTGGCCCGGTCCGGGGACTTGTGCCTTTCAACTAGGGGGGTGGTCCGGTGGAGAGGGGTCAGTGTCAAAGCTGTCAGCCCGATGGCATCAGGGTTTGGGCAAAGTTGCATGGCCCTGGTCCCTTGTAAACGGAAGGCAACAGCTGGAGGACGCGAAAGCCCCACGTGTACGCGCGCACGCGAAAAGGTTAAGCTGGCAGGCTCCAATCAACATGTGTAATGCGAGAAGAATTTGAAGCCAATCGGCCCAACCCTGGCGGCCTCGGGACCTCCTCCTGCAACTCGACTCACGACCCTGAAAACGGCCAGGCGCAGTGGCGCGGCCGTCCGCTAAAGAGACAGACGAGGATCGACACGGCTGCATGCTGATGGGCGCGTTTGGCGACCTGACTTCCCTGAGAGTTTCGTGAGTCTTTCAGGTCCCTCCCAACTTGACCATAGACCACAACATTTCAGACCTTGAGTAGATGAACTGAAACTACGAGTAGCTCGGAGGTGCTTGTGTGTTTGCAAAGACCTCTGAAGAGGCGAGGTGTATGCGAATGCGGATGTTTCGTAGTTTCTGGTCTCTGGTGGAAATACGTTCCGTGCAAATAGTCTTGATGGGGGGACTTGAGAATTGGTACATTCATTGGTGGCGTCGCCAAGAAATCAATGACCGGCACGCTGCAATTTTTTCTTGAGCCCCTGTCATTCGGACGCAAGACACCTGGCACGTAGGGCCTAGGGCTTGCTTCTTGCCTTTCTGGCCAAGTGGCCTGAAGAAAGGAGGAAGAGATCAAGGTCCGTGATACATAGGATGACCATTGAGGAAAGCCTCTAAAAGGATGATACGTCCTGGGAGAAGTTACCCATGGCTTTTTGGGGGCTTTGGGCCAGGAAACTTGATCACCCCTTCCCACTCAGGGGTTCCCCTTCCGTGCGCGGATCGAACCCCTGCCCCGCAGGATCCGGATCCGGATCCGCACGCGGATCGATGCTCGGCCTTGGAGGTCAGGTTCGGTCGGGTCGTTGCCCAAGAGACGCGCTTGAGCGCCAGGGGCTCTCGCCCCTCCCTGGAACCTTCCCTGGTCCCTGGGAAGAATCAAAGCCCAGGGAGGTCAAGGTGGGCCCCCAGAGATGAAATCTCAAATCGCTGTGAATATTTTACCATGGATTTGGAGAGACCGTTGTAGTAGGTTTGGTTTTATGACTCACCCAAAACTATTTTGGCCGAACACCCAAGAAGAGCTCGGGAACGGAGACTGAACACTCCCCGATCATTTTACTCCAGCTTGCCACACTGCTGTTGATCCATATGTACCACCCATCCTCACGCGTCCTACACACGCTCCACATGTCGTGCATGTCCCACATGTCCCCCAAACGTCCCATTCCCCACATGTCCCACATGACCTACCCGTCTCACATGTCGTACACATCCCACATGTCTCACATGTCCCGCACGTCCCACCTGTCCGCCACACATCCCACATCCAGTGTTCCACATGTCCCACACTTCTCGCAGGTTCCAAATGTTTCACATGTCCCACACTTAACGTGCCATGTCGCACATGTCCCACATGTTTCATACTATGTCCCACACGTCCCACATGTCCACATGTCCACATGTTCTCTCGTTCTATGTGTCCCATGTCCCATGTCCCGCACACCCTACTTGTTCCACACGCCCTAGATGTCCGGTTAGCTCCAATGAACAAGAACACATGTCCCACACGCCCCACCTGTTGCGCCCCACGTGTCCCACACACCTCATATGTCTCACGTGTGCCACACATCCCGCAAGTCACATATGCCACACGTATCGCACAAGTTCGCAGCAGCTTGTCCGGCGAGGCGGAGCAAGCGAAAGATGAGGCGAGGAGAGCCGAAGCGGAGGCGAAGCTGTCAGCAGAGGAGGCAGTAGCGGCAAAGGCCTGTCCGGCTCCCACAAGGGCTCAGGGGCTGCCCTTTTGGAGCACGTGAGCCATCGTGGGGGTTTTCGAGGTTCAAGTCCCTTGGCAGGAAACGGCTTCTCGCTAGGGATGGAACTTCGGCCATGGAAAGGCGGCCATCACCCACAGTTCTGACCATGCATGAGTCGCATATTATTCCCTATGAACGCGAGGGCCATGGCGCATTCGCATTTTGTTCATGTCCATGCGCTGTTTGACATGGAGCCCTTGGATCAAGGGCTTTGGAGCTTCCCAGCGCCCCAGGTGCAACGCGGGGTTTCTTCTTCCGTGATTTCCGGGGAACCCCAGCGACGAATCAGCTTTGGAAGGCCCGAAGCCATCCCACAAACCCTGGGTGTGCCTCAGAACAGGTGCCCCGAATGAGGGTGTCGGTTTGATGGACGCGCGCATCACACAACCTGACGTGACTGACATGCAGGCGTCGGAACCTTCAGATTCAACTTGTTTTTGTTTTTTTTGCCGCATGTGTCGTCTTCCACCAATCGCCCCTTTCCTGTGATGTGAGTGAGGGGATTTTCCACGAAGAAGGGCGCAGTCCGGCGTCCGGGCTTCTGGAGCCGTTGGGTTTTGCGGATTGGGGTTTGTATATTTCAGCGCACCTTTCTCAGGTTGGTTTAGTGTTTTGAAGGGACGCCAACAGGATAGCCACCATTTTACTCCCCATTCATTTCCACACCTGCTCAATCGGGCATCAATTTGGGTTAGGCTGATCATTCCACCTTTCCCCTTCGTAGGATGAATTGGACCCTATGAAGGGGGGTTGCTAGGTTTCCACACTTCCAGACCTCCACATGGCTAGATTCATGGGAACACACTTAGCCGGGCGTTGCGCTCCATGGCAAGAATAGGTGTCATTTTGGTTGAGCACCGAGGGCTTCCGCTGATCTCGGGTTGGTTCAAAGTCAAATCATCCACCAAGGTTCGGTTCTCCTACCATGGTGACCCAAACAACCTCCTTTCGGCTTCCGTTTACAGAGAGGCTCAAGCAAACCCGTTGACCAGTGCCATTGATTTGTCCAAGGGCACTCTCGGGCCTTAGAATACCCAGCCCTCCAGTGGCGCATTTATTTTGCAGCCTTTCTGGAGGGCCCCTTACTCACTCCCAAGTTCTCGACTTTAATGGGAGGACGATTTGAGTGGCAAAGTTCCGAAGTGTGGCTTTCTTCGGCCAAGAACAAGCTCAGGAACTGAGTCAACTGGCGACATCCCAGCATGGTGACCCAAACAGCCTTCCTTTTGGCTGCCCTTCAAAGGGGGGTGTCCTTGCCATCTGTTTTTTTTCTTCTTTCGGCACAGGAGGCGCTCGCGAGATCGAAGCAGGAGCAGGCGAACCTCGCGGCGCGGGACCCTGGCCGGATGGTTTTTTTCTGTTTCAACGCCTGGGACCCGGGACCCGGACACATCCTGTCGAAAAAGGAAAGCCGACATATGTGACATATCCCAAGGGATGGGGTAGTTGTTTTTTTTGAGGGGGTGGTGGTCGAAGGGTGGGTCTTGGGAGAGTTTTCTGGGCACCCCGTTCTGAAAAGCGGAAGCTGCGCACCAATCCTAGGTTAGCTCGGCCTTACGGCTTGGGGTTTTTATCATGCTACTCCCTGATCCCCTGGACTTCCAGTTGATTTTCTCCAAGCCACGGCCGTGCATATGCCAGGCGCGGCTGGAGGATATGGAGTACGCGCTGCAGATCGCCAGCGAGGCTGCCGCGGAGGACGCGGAAGCGGCGTCCGAGCGGTGGAGCCCCGCTCTGGGCGGGGCCGGGTACGTTTTGGGGGGGCGACCAAGCAGGGTTGGTGGGGGGAAAGTTTGGGGAGTCATGTGCCCTCCTCCACCAAACTTGAAAATGAAAGCAGTCTTCCAAAAGGGTCTGCGCACCAATTTGTCATAGGCGAAGAATCTTTCAGCCGGACGTTGGACGGGGTTGGGCGAAATTGGTTGAAGCAAAAAGGAGGTTGTCGGGCACCACGCCGATTGCACCGATCTCAGGCGTTTAAGTGAAGGTCGAAAAGTCGCAAGTGAGCGACGGCTGTGTACGGATTCAGTATCAGCCCGATGTTTTTCAAGGAGCACATACTGTACACATGGCAGGCTTTCAAGCAAACCCTGCTCCCCCTGGGGAAGAAACAACACCTGGCTGTGTTAAAACAGATACCCCCCGAAGCCTTGCCAACCGTCTAAGCCACAAGCGGGTTCAGCATGAACCCGTCTTTGTCGAGCAACCAGCAGATTTCTTCGAAACTTGAAGCGGCCCCCTCCAAACAGGGCTCCTTAAAAGATCTCCATTTTGCAACCATTTGAACAATTTGTGGCTTTTTCAACGCCAAAATAAAGTTGGACACCTCCATTTGCAAGTTGCAAGGTTCAGGTGTATCTACTGCATCCGTATCCCTGTCCAGACCGGTTTCGCCAGTCTTTTCCGCCGTCTTCGAATTTTGCGAGGACGCCGTTGGAGAGGATCCCATCGGCGTCCGCGAGGAGCGGTTTCTGTGCTCCGAGAAAAGGGAGGGCCCAGGGTGTTCAACGGACTTACCAGCGGGAAGCTACTTGGTTACTTACTTGGGAGGGGGTAATTACTTGGTTACCTAACATGTCTATCACATAGTTACTTGGGTGCTCAAACTAACATGGAACGCACCAGAGGATCTATTTCAAAGGAAAGCTGTCTTCAGTATGTTATACCTATGCCCATGGTTACAAGTAGGGTACGTGGCGTTAGTCACTTTTTACCATGGTCTCAAGTAGCTTGAACAATTTGCCCAAACCAAAGTGACCTAGGAAAGGCACCTGTGCCAAGTGTTTGCACAGGGTTTTGATGCAAATCTGTTATCTAACCCTGAAACCTGAACACAGGGTGTGTGTGTGTGTGTGAGTGTGTGTGTGTGTGTGTGTGTTTCGGGCAGGGACACATCGAAGTCGTAAAGCTGCCCGCAAATTCGACGAGTCGCAGCTTCAGAACCCGCAACGGGGCATGTTGGCAATCCTTCGTTACACCTAGCTATTGATGTTTATTCACAGGGGGTATTCCCCTCCAAAAGTGCTGATTTCCCAGGAAACCCACAGAGATTAATATGGGGTCAACAATACCTTAACGATTCTTCTGGGCACGTGAAGCGACCTCGCGTTTCGGGACCTGGTATGCAACCGATTTCACCCACGAAGGTTCCTGGAGATTCCTAGGCGAGTATAGCATGGTAACGAGCCACGTTTCCTGAGCAAGTTGCTTTGTATACAGCGAGGCTTCCGAGGGGAGTTTCTCAACATGGTGGAGTCCTTTTGGGTTGGTGAACCAAAAGAACAACCAACAGGACACCAGCCACTTTTAGGGGACCGATTCCTATTTGGCTGTGGGTCAAAAATAGGTGCCCAAAATGGAACCCTGGTAAATGGAACCAAGGACTAAAACCTGCGGTCCCCTGGTAAAATTTTTACCCATGCCAATTTCGAGAAACACCCCGTATTCCAATGGCACCCTGCGAGGCGTGCAGGCTCCGATCGGAGTGCCGTGCGCTACAGGCACGACAGTTGGCCCGGCCCGCGAATGCCGGCGGATTGGGACCCGTTTTGTTGCAGTTTTGGGGTCATTGCAAAGGTACGGTTTGAAGGGGAATCAAAAGGGCCCCATGATTTCGGGGATCTCTTATTTTGAGACAGATTCACATCGACAACGTTGTGGGAAATGGATCCACGAGAAGATGAGCATCCCAAGGTTTTTTTCTCCGCCGACTCAGCAGGGCAGGCCCGAGAAATGTAGGTTTTTGTTTCAAGAGGCTTGCCAGAAGCACCTGGACAGGTGAAAGAGGGACGGTGCTGCCCATGCCAAAAGTGCCTCTACTTCCCACGGACACCTTGGGATGTTTTTAGCCAATGTCAACCCCGGATTGATAAACCCCCCGTGTTGATTCATGGGGGGGTGTCCCCTTTTGGTGGGGGTTCATCACTGTTGAAGGGAACGGGTTTGCCGATCCGGGGTCAACACTATGGATCGCAGGCTTCTAGGTGTTTCCAGCAAATTGTGGCTTGTTGACGGAAAGAAGACCAACGATAGGGCAAATGTTGGGCCACGATAAGTAACACCCTTCGAATATTGATTTCGGGGGGGGGTATTCCGCTGGGACCTGCCTGAGTAAGAATTGGGTGGTTGTTGAGGGACAGGGATCAAACTCATTCAATTTGTTGAGTTTCAGCATCTTTGGGAGAGAAGTTTAGAGGTTGGCGATCCCAGAAAACTGCGCAGGTACAGACACCTGGTTATTCAAAGATCGAAGACCGTCGGTTGGAAGTCTTTCTCCGGTTAGAAATTTGACTTGACTTGTTGGGGATCTTTGCAACCCACAAAATGACAATGGGATGTGTCAAACCAGCGGGGCTTTCAAATGATTGATCTCCTTTTGATTTCCCTTTAGCTTTATCCAATCAACACAGGGCTGCCCAAAAGACACACACACACGCACACATGGCTAGAACTGATAGGGAGCCACCTCGCAAGTGTTTGGTCCACCTAAATGATGTGTACCAAAGGGTCCCTATTGAAATTCACACCCATCTTTGTGTGTGTGTGTGTGTGCTGTTTGTGTGTGTGTGTTTTGATGGTGCCTTGTTTGGGGTGTACAGGTAGACCAAAGGAAACCAACTGTTTAGAGGGCTCAACACCCACACGAGCCCCTCCTGAAAAACCGACACACAAAGGCGTGGACCTCATTTGAGCCACAGTCAACACCCGGGTAGATGAATGGTTGGTAAAAGGATAGTCCCAACCTTTCGTCGCCGCCTTCGCCGCCTTTTTAATTCCTTACATGGTTCTGAGCGGTTTCTGGGTATCGACCATTTCACTACCGATTATTGGTTTTGATTGTGAGTCACATGTTTGGTAGACCCATGGTTTGCTCTCTGTTTCCCCCGTAGAACCCCTTTTCAAGGGCTGACTCACTCAAGCCCCAGAGGCTCCTGAAAAACCTCTTGATTGAAAAAGAGAAGCAAAAGGGGTGGACCGCATATTGAGACAAACCCTTACCGGCCCGACTCGCGCGCAGGGCGCGCTCTGCTCGCTCGCAGGCCGAGCTGAAAGCCGGCGAAGCCAATGCCGAAGCCAATGCCGAAGCCAATGCCGAAGCCGCGGTCCAAGAGGTCCAAGGCGGGGTCCACAAGTAGAATCCTAGAACCCAACCACGCCCCCGACCCCGCTCCCCCCCTCCCCCACCACTGCTTTTTTGGTTACCGCACTGCTTTCTTGGTTGCCGTACTTGAGATTTGCGGACATGGGAAAATGCAGTCACCCCCTCCGCTTGCCGTACTTGGGATTTTGGGCATGGGAAAATAGCAGTTGCAGTTGTTGGGGACTGCTGGAATGGACCTTTTTTATTGCTTCCGGCTTCCCCCTTCTTGTGTGGGTCAAAGGCAGAAGGATGTGGGTCCTTCAGGGTCTTTCGTAGTCAAGCCCGAACCGTTTACGCTTTCTTGGTCACTCAGGATAGGGATTTGGGGAGTTGGAATGCCCTTGAGGCTTCCAATTGAACATTCTCCGGGGCCCCCCTCGGGGGGTAGGGGAGTTTGTGACATATGTTGGTATTGCCGGATCGAGGTTCCCGATTTTCGGAGGGAAATGTGTTCGGAGTGTCCTGGTTGATGCCATGTTGGCTTGGTGGCACCTTGCGTGATGTGTGTCAAGGCGCCGGGGAACGGGGATTGGATTCATCAGACGAGCGATATTCAATTGGGTTGCTGAAGGGATGCGACGATCCAAGCTTTAGTGGGAAATCTCATCTTTTTAGTGGTTTCCCCCAACGGTCCTCCCATGTAAAGGCCCTTTAGATCAACCCCTAATTTCTCAAGAAGAGAGATGAGCCGCCATATGACTGGGTCCATGACAGAGCCATGAATACGTGCATCGATGTCAGCGAAATCAAGAGCAAGAGCACGCACAGCGGAATGCAGTGGAGACAGCAAGCACAGAATTCCACAAGCCAAGCAACAAGGATCGATATACAACCCATAAGCCACTCACCCAATGAACAGCACAGCCCATCTACTCCATCGGGCCCCGCGGGCCGCCTTCCACGTTTCGCGCAGGAACACAGCGGGCTTACCGCCCCACCGCGGATTTCGGGGATGTGTCGAAGCTCTGGAGGTTGAAGGAGCGGGAGAGGGACGCTGGGCATGGCTCGAAATCAGGTGTTGGCCCTAAAAAATGCCATATGCTTGAGTGCTACTCACTACACACTCCTCCCTGGGTTTTGCGACTTTGAACTTGGGAAGACCATGGTAGTGGTAACAAGTTGGACTTTCTTTGGCCCACTCAGGAGACTAGGCACCCCTGATATTTTCTGGCGAAGATATCCATGTCCCTGTTTTGAGCGCATTGTGTTTTCAGGCCTTTCCCGGACCTTGTGCCATGGGTCCTTGTTGATTGGTTCAGGAAGCCTCATGCTGGGCGTCAGTGGCATGAGACCCTAGGCACAAGTGGCCAAGTTCATCAGTTTGAAGCTCGCAACGGGACGCTTTTTCCGTTCGGCAGCCACAAATTCCCGCACTTCTTGCCAGAACATTTGTCCATTGTCCTCGGCGACCAAGGGCATAGTTTGACCTTGGGGCTTAAACTTAAGTCATTAATCAAGTTCCAACAGGTTCAGTTCCAACAGGTAGCCTCAAATTATGGCATCCTCATAATATGGGTGTGTTTCAATATAGGGGGACCCCCAAAATCACAAGTTGTTCTAACTTCAAGCACCCCGAAATGGGTACCAAGCCTCAAACAACACGCATGGAAGCAAGTATACACATCCATATGTTGACCGCTGAAATCACTAGACCAGTTCTAACAGGCTCACCACCTATAATGGTCACCTCACCAATAGTGGTGGTAACCTCATACTTTGCGCGTTTTGTGGCTCAAAGTTGACCAGTGCCTTGGCTCGGAACGATGTCGAAGCCTGCGCTGCACGTTCTGAAACTGCCTGCAGAGCAGCGCGCCGATCTCTTGGACGGGTCCTTCCGCCGGCCATGGCGGATTGAGGCGGACATGATTCTTTCCCCCCCCCCGTTCTTCCTTTGTTTTTTCTTTATCCCCCCCCCCCCTTTTTTTTTTGGGGGGGGGGGTTGTTCCTTCCCCGGGAAGCCAACAGGAGGTTGTGAAAGCAAGATTGTTGGATGGACAAATTCATGCTGATCGGCACCGGTTGGCAGTTTTTCAACCAATTTGTATAGGGTTTGATTCATTTCGACTGGCGTTTCTTGTGGAGGTTGTCCGTTCAAAGTGTTTTTTCCTAGCTAGACCTCTTAAACTTTTAGACTTTTTGAGAGCTTAGAGAGAGAGAGAGAGGGAATTATGAAAAAAGGGGCATCCTCAAAAAAGACAGACCCATCTCCCAGCAAAAGTCTAAGAAGGGATCGAACCAAGTCGAAACAAACTTGGAGCGTGGGATTTTGTTCCCAACCAAAACCCGACCCGACTTGGTTTTCCCTCAATGGACACCAGCAGGTGTACGGAAACAAGAAGAGGAGGTCATTTTTGCGCAATAGTTCTAGGTGAAGCTAACCATTCTGACGATATGTTCAGGAAATCAAACACCTTACATTGATAGTTTGGTAATTGAAAATAATGGAGAAACAACCGCTAGTGGTTCAAACATCTTGAAGGGGGCTTGTCCAATTGAGGGGGACCTCAACTGCAACGACGTAGTGCAGCTGCCCGAGTTACTCTCCGGAGGAGGCAAGGGGGTCTGGGCCCGTCCACTCCCTGCCTTGGGTCCCTTGCGGTTTGAGGGATCCTTCTCAAAGAAGTGGGTGGCTCGTCTCTTGTTAGGGCCCCGCCCCCAGCTGGGGTGTCCTCTTGGTCTCCCGTTTTAGGCCACAAAAAGGAGTGCCCTCAAAAACAGACCAGACCATGTTGAGCAGTTCTCTAATCTATTTTGACGGTGGTCTCCAACCTGATTTTCATGAACCTCAGGATCATCTAAGCCTCACACGCTTTGCTCGAAGTTGTTCTACTGGGTTCCTTGAAGTGACGGATTTTGAGGGACCCCAGGAATTACTTTCAGAGTCTCAGAGAGGTCGTAAAGTGGTCGTATTTTTTGAGGGGCCTGCTCTCGAAACGTTCGTCCGGCTCCGGGTGTTTTCCTTCAAGTCACCAGGGTCTGTTCGAGGACGCAACGGACCCAGCCAATGTGCTTCACTTGCTGCATGAGTTCTTGACAGCAACAGGTTGGCTTTCCATATGAAATCATCAGCGGAGTCTTGACGCTTCCTTGGTTTCCTTTGGTTCTATTCCCAGAGCTTGGTTGTTTGTTTCGGTTTCGCCGCCTCGAAGCTGAGTTGTCCTTTGGTTTTACCACCCCAAAGCCGAGTTTTCCTCTGGTCAGCGTGTTTTTTCTCGGTCGCCGGAGACCCGGTCACCGAAGACCCGGTCACGGAAGACCCGGTCACCGGAGACCGAAACGACCGCCCCCGGGTCTCCGAAAACCGCCTCGCCGCCTCAGCGCCTCGGCTCAGGGGAGTTCGAGGGCTTCTTCTTCGTGGGGCCGCGCACCGCGGAGGGCTGGCCACTGGAGTTCGCCTCGCTGGAGGACGGGACCCGTGGCGCTGCGCTGTCCCTAGTTGGGCGAGGAAAAAAGGGCGACAGCAAACACCGCCCGAAAAAGAAACGAGAGAAGAACAAAGGACACTTTGCGAAATGCGAGAGAAAATCATAAGAGGCGCTTTTTAAAATGGGATCCTACAACATCCTGAAGAAAGACAAGCCCACATGGGGTTGTGAAACCAATCAAAGGGGCAGCCAAGTCCTTTTTCAGGGAAGCCCGTTCAAAGTGATCCAACTGATCCTCTACCCAAAAAATCCTCTGCCAGGGCCTTGTCTTCCCCACCTCCGTGGTGGAGCGCGTGGGGAAGGACAACCTCCGTGCCTCGAGCGGAAGCTTTCGACGTTTGCTGGGCGACATGCGCATTGGTTGTTTTGAGGGGATGGATTTGATACGTTTGTCCAAGCCTGTTCGGCAGCCAAGCAGATTTGGCCAGCTTTGATGAAAGAAAGCTCTGCACGTGGATTAGCGTTTCTCAGGATCGGAATCCCCTTGGGGAAATGGACCCCTCTTTGGGTTTCATATTGATCCGGGGAGAAGCAAGATGGGACACATCGAAAGACGTACATTGGGCAACAAATGACATGACACTGACGAGAACCCATGAAGACGGACTCTTTTTATTCTGAGCCCAGGCTTGAGGAGGACAAATGGGGTTGATGCCGAGGTATCTCCTGCGGAGTGGAATGGGAATGGCGGGGGGGGGGGGGGCAAGAGGAGGGATGTCGCCCTAAGATGAACATGGAGCCTACTTTTGTCGGATCGCCGACTCCTTTGGGAATCGGACCACCCTTTGTTGGGCTCCTTAGATTGAATCCGTGGAGAAAGGAAAGCCCTAAACTGCCCCAACATGCCCCAACATGCCCCAACATGCCCTCACATGCCCTAACATGCACTAAAAGGTTGACCCATTCCACGTCCATCCCATGGGAAGGCCCGGCCCCTCGCCCCCAAACCCCCCCGGACAACCGCTTTCGAGGCAGCTCCTACGAAGCCCTGGCGGAGCAAGTGCTCCAGGACCAAGGCTTCTCTTTGGCGGACCTCCTGGGTGGAGAAGCTCTGGGCGTTTTTGTTTTTCTTCTTCTGCGTGGGTGTTTCTCAAGAAAAAGATGAGTTGGACCCTCCAACGAGTGGTTGGTTTTTCCTTTTGGTTTCCCCTCAAAAACATTCAGCAAGGGTAAACCACCCATATGGGTGTGTCCACTTTCTTGGTGTGAGGGTACTGCTTTTCCGCGGCTTTAGAGGAGAAAACCCACAACACAAAAACACATTTTTAGGTCCCCTAAAAAAGACACACCCACAACCTGTTTTGTTTGTGGGGGACTCACCAACCTGCAATCACAAAAGCCTTTCGGGGGACTTCAGCTTCCCGTGTGCTGGGAGGAGATAAGTTATTTCCACCATGGCTCATGGTTCGTGCACTCCAGGGATTCAAAGTTGGACATGTTTTTCTCTGTTCACAACAACCCGCTCGTTGGAAATGCCTGCGGGATGGGCTGGAATATTTTTGGAGGGAAGATCCTCCATGTGGGGATGGTTCCGCTTTTGGGTGGGTTCAATAGCTTGGTGGTTTCCCGCGTGTTTTGGACAATAGGGTTTATCTGTCATCTGGGAAGTATGCTGAAGGTGCGATTTCAGGCCCAACAGCCCCGACGACTCCGAACCAGAAAGTGCACGCTTGGCGCTCTGGAATGTCGTCAGTGTGGCATGTACTAAATGTAGGGGCAATTTGTTGAATTGGAATGGGCTTACGGTGTACTTTACGACTCGCTTAAGTCATCATCATAGTATAATACTGTCTGCAATCATTGCTCAAGTCAGCAAAAAACAGGTAATTGGCGTAATTGTTCAGCCTTGCACACAAGACGAATGAGCGATCGCACGCTTTGCTTCCCGCCCGGCCCCGCCCCGGCCCCCGCCCCCGCCCCCGCCCCCGCCCCCGCCCCGCCCCGCTCGCCCCGCCCCGCCCGCCCGCCCGCCCGCCCGCCCCGCCCGCCCCACCCGCCCCGCCCCGCCCCGCCCCCCACCCCCCCGCCCCGCCCCCCACCCCACCCCGCCCCGCGCCCGCCCCCGCGCCCCACCCCCGCCCCACCCCCCCGCCCCGCCCCGCCCCGCCCCGCCCCGCCCCGCCCGCCCCGCCCCGCCCCCCACCCCCCCCCGCCCCGCCCCGCCCCCCCCCGCCCCACCCAGCCCCACCCGGCCCTGCCCCACCCCGCCCCCGACCAGCCCCACCAGCCCAGCCCAGCCCACCCCAGCCCACCCCACCCCACCCCACCCCACCCGACCCAACCCCACCCCACCCCACCTCACCTCACCCCCCCTGAGCCTATGGCTCGCTCAGGAAGAGGTGGTGGCGGAGTTCTGGGCCAATCCAGACACGGAGGCGCCCATCTCCGGCGAGGGCGAGAAGCCTCGCTGCGTGAAGCTGGAGCAGTGCACTCTGGTGAAGAAGGTTTAGGTGGTTCCCCTTCAAATGCGCACGGAAACCCTTGCAAAAACCCGGGAGGGGGGGGGGAACCCCAAAAGGAGCCGCCGATCCAAATGTGGCTTTTTCGGGGTTGAGAGAAATACATGGCATTCTGCCTTGTGAATCGTCTACTGCTGTGAGCTCATTTGGTCGAGCGATGCGCGTCGATTCCTCGTTGCTTTTTGGCACTAGGAGGTGAGCCTTCGATTTTTGGAGGCTCACCCGTTGCTCGGATGCGAGCCATCGGTTTGCGAGAAAAGAATCGGGCGGGCCGAGGCGTGAACTGGTGGGAGCTACCAACAAGAACACCTCCTTTATGGATCTTTGGACTTCAACATGTTTTTTGAAGCAGGTCGGATGTTCCGAATTGGATCCACAAACAGTTAAGAACTTGTTCAGAGGGGTCAACCGCAACCAAGCCTCCATTTGGGTATCACAAATTGGGGATCGATCGGGACACAACGGATTTTAGGACCTTCAGAAATTCTGCCACCTTTTGGAGAAGGCCCAATTAAGGGCACGGTTTGTGTGAGAATTCGTCTTGGGGACAGTTCCTGTGATACTACGGGAATCCTTTTGAAGGTCATATGTATGTTCATAACCACAGTCCTATAGGCGTTTTGTTGGCTTCTAAAGTTCTTCTCCACAACCATGTTTTGGGGCGTTGTACAGCGACCCAATTACTTTTGGGTGTGGTTTTTCTGCCCAGAGGCTCCCGATTGATTTAGGGCCTTCAAGCAACCTGGTTTTGAGTCCCCCAACCGCCCATTCCCGGGTGTCGAATGGAGGGGTTGGGCCAACGGGTCATTGAAAGCCCCAGGAGCCTCTGGGTGGCAAAATCCACGTTTTCTCGGGGGGTTTTCCCATGCGCCCCGAAGAGGAATTCGGCTCCGGCTCCGGGGAGATGCTGTCCATCGCCGAGGAGCCGAAAGAGGCGGCCGCCGGGAATGTCGGGGGATCGAGTGTTGGAAAACAATGGGTGTGGGTCAAAATTCAGCCACCAGGGTATGGACCGCAGGTTTTAGTCTTTGGTTCCATTTACCAGGGCAAGCCATGTTGGGTGCCTATTTTTGACCCACAGCCAAATGGGGAGTTGATATCAAAAGGTCCGGTAAATATGGGATGAGACCATTAGTTGGGAAGCCCCAAATTTGAACAAAATTGGGGTCGTGGAGCCTTTTGGGGGTGGTTTGGTTTAAGCAAAAATCGAGGGCGACTTTTGGAGATCCTGGTGGTTCAATCATCTACCAGGGCTGTTTCTTTTTCCAACAAGGACATCTATGCTTGGGGATCTGTTTGGAATTTGACACTTGCGTTGGCATCGCACGGAAGTTGCGAATCGACCCTGCCTGTGGGGTACCGCTGGAAGATATAGGGATTGCAACGGACGTTTGTAGGGATTGATGGTGTGTGCACATGGAGTTTTTCTGTAACATAGGGATTGCAATGGACGTTCCGTCACGGCTGGTATGGGCTGACTTGCACAGACCGAGCTTCTGGTTTGATCTCCGTTCTGATCTCGGTCTTCTTTGGGTACATTTGCAGGAGCGCAGCTAATGCACTTTGTGTTAGGAACGAATGGGACACCGTATCGAGACCAATTGCTGCTTGAAGGCTTCTTCTTGTTTGATCATGGCTTTGATCTCGATGTTTCAATCTGAATTACTTAACCATTGACAGGTCTAATCATATGCGGTTGGGCGGTTCCAGTTGTTTGCGCGATATCCTTGTGATGGGCTACTTGCGGTTCCAACCGCTTTCTGTTTTTTCTATGCGACGTTGTTGCGCATGGTTTCGACCCAAGTGCATGAGGGGCTCTTGGCGAGTGTTGGATATCTAGGGTCCAGTGTCTATGGTCCCGGGGTCCCCCCTCCCCGGGAAGCGGGAAGGGTTCAGAGGTTGTGGTAAAACCCATGTCTCCTCCCCCCTCCCCCCCCTCCCCTGTGGAATCATGGTGGGTGACACTTCTGTTGCAAGCATCGGCTACACTTCTGGGGAACCTAACCTGTTGTTGACTTCCGCCCCCGGCCCCCCCCCTGTGAAATCATGGTGGGTGACTTCTATTGCAAGCATCGGGTGCATTTTCGGGGAACCCAATCTAGACGTTCTTTCTTCTGGGGCTTATAAAGTGATGTAGAACCAAGTGTAAAGGGTCACCCGAGTTTAGATCTGGAGGAGCAAAGGTCCGGCAGAAAAGTGTTGACGTAGGAGTTTAATGAGAAGAAGAGAAGCAGAGCTGAGAAGGCAGAGGTTCTCGGGAGCGCAGGGTGAGAAGCATTTGAGAGCAAATCCCATTGGCTCGGCAATGAGCACCATTGGAGGTGGGGGGGGGGGACGGGAAGCTCAAATTCGCGCTGTCGGAGCTGGGGGGTGGGGGGGATGGTCAACCTTATCCAATGGAAATGCTGCTTATTAAGCCTTAGGCTCAGGATCTGCAATTTTGCGTTCGTCCATTTTGACGTACGCAATGGTTGAGTCTCTGGCTTGATCATGCTACTTTGTCTGCAAGGCTGGACCGCAAACAACATCCCTCCGATGCAATTCGCACGTTTCGGCTGCGCCAATGACGGGATTGATGATTCTCATGGGCTTGAAACATGCGAAACGAATGTGCCTAAAAGACTTGTTGCTCGCTCTGCAAGCACCATCGCGCTACTTTGTGCAGCGCGCGGATTTTGAGCAGCTTGCGTTGGCAATTATTCGTTTTATACATATTTTTGTACATACGGTACCCCGGAGGTGCCACCTTCTCTGAGTGGATGAGTTGACAAACAACATGGGCACCCAAATTCCATTTTTAGCTATCTACCGGTATTTACCCCTGGACCCAAGATCCAAGATTCGTGGGGGTACTTTTGGGAGCAATCTTGGCATCGGCGTTTAGATTTCTAAATGCCCGTATGTAGACTTTCAGGGACCTCGGATCTTTCTCCATGATGTGGCTTTGGCAAGGACAGTCACTTCGGTCGTGGTGCAGGCGGATTGAAGGACGCCCTCGTCGACGAGATGCCGGGCTTTGATGTGTACTGGCATCGAGAGACGCAGAAGCTGGAGGACGTCTGCCGCCAGATGGGCCGCCCGCCAGATGTGTTCTTGACTGTGGCACCGGCCGAGTGGACGTTTCCTCTCCACTGCGCCGTCCTTCGGCCAGAGCCTGCTCCTCACCTTGCACATCCGCAACAGTTTGCAGGCGCTGCTACGGGGCTTCTTCCAAGATCCCGCTTGGGAGGGCTTGGCGGCTTGTGGCATTGAGCCCGTCAGCGCTTTGAATTCCAAAGTCGCGGTGCCTTCCACGCCCGCGCGATCTTGTGGCTGGAAAATGGCCGCGGAGTTTGCAGGGGAGGGCCGGCAGCAACCCCAACTCCCCCTTCGTGGCTTTGTTGGATCATTTCTTCTGCCAGGTCGACCTGCAGGCCAGTGCTCCGCTACGTCGCAGGCTATTTGCCAAGGCCTGGGCGAAGCGCGACGCGATGGAGCAGAGCAAGTGGCGCCGCTTCGTTGTCCTTCATGGGCCTGCCAATGGTCAAAGCCTCCTTCACGGGCGAGCGCCTCTACGACGCCTGCCAGACAGCGTTGTGTGGGGAGTTGGGGCAGGACGCGGGCGGCTTCCTTAGATCCAGGGTCTAAATGCACGTTTAGAAATCTAAATTTAGATTTTAGGAGAATCACTCATGGCTGTAACAGTGCTCCCAAAAGCCCCCCCCACGAATCTTGGATCTTGGATTAAACCCGTTTTTTCCTTTTTGCGCAAGACGCGTCCACGTGCTTTGTTTTGCGCAGAGCTTGCTCAGAGAACTTGCGCAAAGAATTTGCGAACTCAGTTTCAAAAAAGCGAGGCTTATTTGCTGTGTGGACGTAGCCTTGCCTACAACAGCGGATCATGCCAACTCGTTCTGGCAGATATTTGGCCTCGCTGCCAACGAGTGGCCCATCCGAGTCCTCTTCACAAGAATCTGACGTGGACTCAGCCCCACGTTTTTTTGTTCATCTTCTTGTTCGTCTGATTCTTATTCTTCGCTGGAGTCCGAAGAGACTGGCCCTGGTGGATCATCATCGCCAGAGGACTCGGACTCTGTTCTTGCAGCACTACTGAGCCCTGAGGCACTAAGCCCTGAACGTGAACATGCCAGCGCCAGGCATCGGAGTCCCATGGAGCATGTGGGGGTTGTTCTAAATGCTTTTTCCCGGCCTGTTTCGCTTTTATGCTTCCGCGACAAAACGCGTTTTCGACACGCGTTGGCCTTGTCACCAAATGACGTTTTTCTCAGCCCAAGTGGCGATTGTTCAAGTGTAGTACAAGTGTAGTGCGCCAAGTACACTTCCGCAGCTCCAGTCTCCAGCTCCAGCTCGAATATCGCAACTTTGTTGTACAAGTGTAACACGCGAAATGCAATTTCGTAGCTCCAGCTCGAAAGTCGCAACTTTGTAGTGCAAGTGGAGTACGCGAAGTGCAACTAATTCTACCGCTCCTGATCGAAATTCTCAAATTTGTAGCACAAGTAGCGCGAAGTGCACTTCCGCAGCTCCAGCTCGCAAATCACGACCTGGTAGTATAGCATGCGAAGCAATCGTACTCTATCCAAATCCAGAGGAGATGCTTTGACACCTCACTGGTAACACATGGAGCACATGGTGGACAGCAAGCCTGCGCGTCTTTGCTTAAATATGATCCAAACTAGTTTAAAACAGCAAAGCAGGGCGCTGGGGGTGGGGCGTAGCATAAATCTACATATGTATGTAACATGGAACATGTAAGCCGCACATCGTTTACACACACACACACGCATACGCACACGCATAACAGAGCCCTTAGATTTTGGCCTGGGGCTGACAGGCCTCTGTGGAACCCCCCGCATGGCTGAGGCAAGAAACTCATATGGGTGGTTCACGCATCTGGGGACTCCACAGACCGCTCCTCGCAGGGTTCGGGCGTATGAGGCCTTCTTAGAGTCAAACGGGCAAGCAAGGTTTCCCAGCATTCGCGGGAGTCTGAGTTTGCAGTGCCCATTGCTCAGTGTCTTACACTAATTCGGGACCCCGAGAAAGGCTTTGGTTCCCCATTGAAGCAGCCATACAAAAAGGAACTTTCACATGCTTGTTCAGGTCCGCGTCTCGCGCATCTCGGTGAGGCCGTCAACCCATTCGCGGACGAGGATCCGTTTCAGGACATTGAGCCGCTTGGCGAGAGGAGCAACCGTGGCGGTGCCAAACATCCATGGCCCAAAAAGGCTTTCCGGGCGTGTTCTGCCGGCTTGCGGATTTATGGCGAACAATCAAAACGGTGTCTGGGACGCTGGGGTGAAGCAACAAACGCGAGGTGTGGAGGGTGCATTTTTTTCCCATGTTTAGCTTTCAAGAAAGTGGTTGACGTCCCTGGCTGGACTGCAATTATAGCTTCCCCGCTGCGAGTAACGGAGGCGGAAGGTGGAGGGTGTTTCTCCTTAGAAAGATCCGAGGCCCTTTCGCTTTGGGGCTTCTAAACCCTGGGGCAGTGGGCAGTAAAGACGTGGGTGCAAGTTGAAGTCCAGTGGGTGAGAGGTGTTGTAACCCATCACATCAGCTTTGCTTGCCATACCTTCACCCCAAGGCGACGGAGTTCCCATCCTTTCAGTCTAGCTGAGGAGGATGGGCAGGAGCAAGAGTCGACCTTTTGGTGGGGCGTTATTTTAGAACCTCTTTCCACGGCCCCTTCAAAGGTCATTGCGGCGCTTGAGGAAGATGGAACCTTGGAGGAGGCGTCCTCCTCAAAAGGCGATTCTTCTACTTTCAGGGGAGCCCTTGATTTGGGGCGTTTTTAGGGATACCCTACTTGGGGTTGGCTAGAGGGAAACCAAAGGGACAGCAAAGGGAAATCACTGGGCTTGGCTGAATGTTGGGGACCCCAAATTGAGATTCCTGCAGGGTTCCAGTGCCTCGTCTTTTTTGAGGCTTGGCAACCTTTTTGGTCATGTTTTTCTTCGGGAAACCAAAGGGAAACCGCCTGTTTGGAGGCTTCCGATTCCCATTTTGAGGTACAGAACGATATCTACCAAGGCGGTCATCAGTGGCCTCCACAGGTGCCCCAAATGGAAGTGAGAAGGGGCACAAAAGGGCACCTTGCAACGGGCGGCGCCGGGGCCCGTTTGAAAGGGCTGCACGGGGTAATTTTGGCGGCGCCAGTTTAGACGAATGCTACTTTGGAAACATGGGCTGCCTAAACGATCGGAAAGTGCACGTTTCCTCTTGAAGATACCAGGCTATGTTCATGAACCTGGAAACCGCTTTCCGGGGCTCCGATTGCCCAAAAGCAGTTTCCTCAAACGGAGGTATCTGGGGTTCAAGTGTTAATCTCTAGCTTGGTGGGTTCCAGCCATCTGGTTCCGCAGGTTTTTTGGCTTTTAGTTGGTTTCGTGGGTCGGGTTTTCATTTCGCCCACGAAAAGTGTTCGCTCTTTTTGGGGGTTTGTTGGGTTTCGACGTTTTTCGCAGATCTGAAAACGGCGCCGCCGAACGATTTGGTTGGGAACCATTTTACCTTGTTGCTTATTGTGGTCTAGTGGTTGAAATCCAACCACTCAACTGCTAAAATCTTTTCATTTGGTTGAAATCCACACTTACCTGCTTGAAATCTGTTCATTTTTGCTCCCCAGATATCAAGGCAATGCCTACCTTTAAGTCATTCTCAGCTGGCCAACGAAAAACCCCCGCCCCTTACGTCAACCAACGGCCTCCGAAGATCAAGGCCGGAGGAGGCGCCGGTGGCCGCGCGGCCCACCGCGGTCTCCTTCGCGCCGCCGCGGCGCGGGAGCTCCGGGCTGAGGCGCCTTGGCGCTTGGCGCCTTTCGGGGGGACGGAGCGGTGGATCGGCTGTGCGGGGGTTGGGCCGGGTGTTTGTTTTTCCGAGTTCCTTCTTTTTTAGGGTTGCTTTCCAGGGAAAAGGAGAGAATGGACTAATTAGGTTGGGGAGTCTAAGTAGGTTGAGAGTGTTATTCCTTGAAGTTGGGTGATGTTTAAGGGGGGAAACTAGGGAGCTTGGGAGGGGAGGTGTGGTGGACACCAATCGTCACTAATTTTCACTCATTGTACAAATTGTCAATCACGCTAGTTACCAAAGTCACAAAGAGTCACTGATGGTCACATACAGTCACTGGTAGTCATTATTAAGTTGCAGGGCTCCTTCTGCGTACCAAAATGGCGGCTTTCCCTTTGGTTTCCCTCAAACACGACTAAAAAGGGTACCATCTCCAAAAAACACACCCCTATGGTTCTGAATCAGAGTTCAACAATACCACAACCCATTGGAAGTAGTACATCCGAAGCCAACGATATGTTGCTTGGCTCCGGTCCTTGATAGAGAAATCCATGGGGGTTGCTTTGTGGTTGTAAAGGAACAGCAAAAGGAACATGACCAGCCTCTAGCCTTCCAAGCAAAACCTAAACCAACCCCAAAGCTAACCCTAAACTAACCCTAAACCAATCCTCAGCCCACTAAAAAACCAAAAAGGACGCCCAAAGGAAAGCCACCAGCTGCGTCTCCAAATCCTCCGACGCTCATGGCTCCAGGAATCCCTTCGACGACGACGCTTCGAGCCAGGCCTCGGAGGACGCGGAAAGGGGCCGCGGGCTTCGCTTCTGGGGGGGGGGTGGGGGGGTTGGGTCTCAAAGTAGGAACCGGAAGCCCCAACAAAAGTGTGTGTGTGTGTGTTTTTGGTTTGGGGTGGCAGAGGTTTGGTTGAGGGTTGGTTCAGGGTTGGTGGGTGCTTGGTGGATCTCCTTTTCGCTTCCCTTGAAGCCATCCAAACAGGATACCCTCCAAAACAGACACCCCAATGTGTCTAAGAGGGACCCCGCTCCAAATGAAGGAGCCCAGAATAGCTGGAACCCCTTCGGCTTTCTTAAAAATACACGACCAGGATTCAGAGGGAAGCGGGGAGAGTTCCAATCGCATCGGATCTCTGCAGGTTTGAAGGGATAGGCTTTTGGGAGGCATTGCTTTTGAAAATGGATATTCCGTTGGGTTTAGGGCATGTTCTGCCTCATCCGCTAAGCGTTTACAATGTGTTTCGCGACTTCTCTTCGCTTTGCTAGACAAGGAAACGAGCTAGGTCTGGGTGAGCTCTTCAAAAAGCTTCGCAATAGCAAGGGCCAAGCCAACGCAGCTGAGAGCAGCGCAGAGCACCCAGACCAGCAGGTTCAGGGGGAGGACATGGCAGAATACCATCTTAACGATCCTGACGGGTGCGTGGCGTATATGCTTGTGGACACGTCAGAGCTGAAGAAGCGAACCGGCCAAAGGTAGCCTATTGTATCATGTCTTCCAGAAAGCCATCGTCAAGAGGAACCATGCTCGGCGTTTGCATGGGAAGCACACGGCCACAGAGATGGGGGAGTGACTTAGGCATGACTTTGTCGTTTGTAGCAAGCGTGACATGCGTGACTCGATGTTGTGGAGTACAAGGCATATATTCTGAGAAGATCTCAGTATTCATCGTGCATTGTTCACGGTCCGCTATGCTTTGCACATCACCTTTAGGCCTTTAGGGCCAATTTCAAGCGAGTTTCTTTTGGCGGGCTTACGTTTCAGGGAAAGATGTAGGGACACCTGTTGTTGGCCACGGGATATGCTTGGCCAATTGACAAAGCGACAGGCACCAAGCTTTTTTGTCAGGTCGGGGGTGGCAAATGGATATTCAATGTGGCTGGGATAGTTGTTTGTTTGTTTGTTTGTTTGTATGTTTGTTTGTTTGTTTGCTTGCTTGCTTGCTTGTTTGTTTGTGTGTCCGTTCTTAAGCAAATCACGGGTCATTGTTCATTACCTGTTTTTACAGACTCTGTTTTTAGTATCATCATAACAAAGTAAACAGTAGTCTTCTATTTGCTGAAATGAATATTTGTTATTTTCCCCTGTTGATTTTCAAGGGAATCTGTCACTGCTGGCAATATGTTTATATTTACAGGGGGCTTAAGCAAATGGAAGTAGTCTTTTTGCACAAGCTCATATTTGTTCATGGCACTTGGCTGGTCGTCGAAACTCAGTTCGTTGATCGACGCTATGCTAGCTCTGACCTTGTCGAAAGGTCCTGGAAGCTTTCAGGGCAATCGGTAGAAACGTTCAGGCAACCCTTCTAGGTCCCCCAGTAGTGCCCTTTTACCCCTTTTTGGAGGAGAGTTCCCCTACTAAAATCAACTACGGGAAAACAGTTGGTACCCTTATTCTACCCCTACTGGAGGACCTAGCCTTAGTTGGTGGTTTGGATTGGTGGTTTGGGGAATTGAAGCCCTGGCTTTTGTAGGTGAATGGGACTCTCCGTTTCGCCACCCACTGGGCTCGCTCCAAACCACCAACTGGAGGGAAGCTGAAGCGTGGCTCCAGTCAGCTTCAATCCCTTCAAGTGGCGACTTGGATTGGTGGCTTGGAGATGTTTTCCGTTTGACAAGAACCAAAGGTCCAAATCCCAGGCCACCAATCCACATCAAGGGTGACACGGGACGAGCAGACGAGTTGAGCTCCCTCCCGGAGTTCCTGGACTTGACACTTTTTGGGTTTGGACCGAACTTTAGGGGGGTTTAGGGGCAACAATTAAATCTGCTTTTGTTTTTGACGCATGCCTTCAGGAAGATGTGGGTTTGGACCATTTTAGTGGTAAACACAGAATTGTTGTTTTGTGTTCGACTGATCCACTCAGGAAGAAACAAATGCCTCCCAAGTAACCATTCAGGCAACCATTGAGGAAAAATGACTGATCCACTCAGGTGACCATTAGTTAGAAAGATGGGTTTGGTTTTGCCTCAGTCGAGAAGCCTTCGCCCGGCTGCTTGGATCTCGCAAGGATCTCCCCGCAGGTCACATCGCTTCTGGAGGCCTCGTCTTTTTTTTCTTCTTCTCTGTTTTCCGGACGAAGTGGGGTGGGTGGGTGGGTGGGTGGGTGGGTGGGTGGGTGGGTGGCGACGACCATCCAGAACTACTTGGGTGGTCAATCCAGGTCAGTTCAGCAGGTTATAACTGTGGTAGCTTTGGTAGCTGGAGTAGTCCCCTTGCCATGGTTGTAGCCTTACTAAGGCTGGAACAGTCTAGTAGGTCACAGAAGCAGCAAAGTATCAAAGGAATCTACCCAGAACCATGTGCAGAAGCAGGTATCGAATAAATCTGTGTTTACTCTCAGTCATGTATAGAATCAAAAGTTACGATGGCACGATATTTGGAACCTGGGAGCCCCTCTCAATCGGGCGAATGCAAATGCAAGGATGTCTCAGCAAGGTGCAATTTGCTGTTGAGAGAATGTTGCATCATGTTGCATCAACCACATTTAGGGTTCGATGACTCCAGTAGCAAGTGAAACCAACAGCCATCAGCGGACTTGCAGATCGGTTGTGTGACCGAAAGATCCGCTCGGTGTTACGTATGCTTTCCCCGGAAATGCTGGGAATGGTCAAGCCTCAAAGGATTTTTTCCTCGGAAATGCTGGGAATGGTCAAGCCTGAAAGGATTCAGGACATTTGGGGGGCACCCTGCTTTGCTGGGTACACCACAAGGCTTAGGCTCAGGTGAAACGTCCCCTGGAAGAGGGTTGCACCACGGCAGACTCCGGGGTCCTAAGTGCCTTGCCAAGTTGGATGGGCTTCACTTTCGGGATTTCACCATGTCCAAGGAGTTGTCCATCACAGACATGCCGCGTGGTTTTGTTTAATTTTTCGGTGCTTGGAGATATAGGTTTCATTTCTCATCTGGCAGCAGGGTAGATGAGCTTGAAGGTGTTTTCGGGTTGCTCATTTTCCGCATGAGTTCGTGGCGACGCTGAGCAGGGGTCAGTGCCTTTGCTTGGGCGCATCACACATCACCCACAGGCCCGCTTGTTCTCGGATGTGGTTTGCGTTTTGTTAAGTGGCTTCCTTTTGCCACGTTGAAGGCCAGATTAAACATCCTCATCGTCCAGTCTCTCTTTTATGGTCCCCTGTTTGAACACATTCGAGCAGCGCCCAACAAACATGTGACTCAAGGTTGTGAAGGTTTAAACCCAGGTAGTAGAACTCACCTGCGGTAGCCACTTGCAGGGGAATGGTTGACTCTCACTTGTGTATATATATATATATAGAGTGTATTGTTGAGGGAGGCCTTCTCAGGTTGGTTTCCCTGGGACACCAAAACACACCTAAGAGCACGGGTGCCCTTCCACAAACTTGCCACTCCAGGACCCCTGGCTCAAAAATCCGACCCTCGCGGGGAGAAAAAAGAAAAACCAAACGCGCCGCAGGGGGCTCCTTTGGCAGGGCCAGCGGCGGGATTCTGCCCCTGCCTGCGCCTGAGTGGCGCAACAACCTAAGTCTACTTGCTGGTGCGATTTAAAAAAAACAAATGGAATGAGCCCAGGGCTCAAGGAAACCACAAGGGATGGATTATAGTCATTCCCTCATTCAGAAAGTTTAACATTATGTTAGAATACTGATTGAAGTTGGATTCTGGTGTTGGAATTGTATTTGCACTAATTCAATTTCACAAACCTCTTTCAGGGGATCCTTTGGAAGACTTCCTGACTACCTGAAGTGCTTGGAGTTAGTCGCCAGCGAAGCAGTCTTCTCACCTTTTGGTTTCTCCCGACATGACACCCTTTGCCAGCGCCATGCAAACAGGCGCCTTGCGAATGAAATGTGAATTGCATATCACATGTAAACCACCAGAATTGGAGACAGGTCCAAGTTCAAATCCCTGATTTTCCAAGTGCAACACGTTGAACATGGGTCCTCTTGCTCTTTTGCAGTAACCTGTTTCTGCCTGCGACAGGCTCCATGTTGCCTCGATCGCTGGTTGAAGGTGGAGCCCCGGTTTAACCAAAAGTTTACTTGGGAGGGGTGTGGCTTCGTGTCTTGAATCGTCAGCTCCCTTCAAAACGTGCTTGTTGTGGACTGAGATTGACCCACCTCTCCTTTGCCTCAGCGAAAGACATTTGGCCATAAGGCAACCACGATTTGGTCACCTTCGTTCTTGGCCAGGTACTGATGAAAGTCGTGTTGCCAGTGGAAGAACATATCATTTTACTTGGTTGGTCATAAGGTTTTACTTGAAGGGAGAACATTGAAAGAAGTGGTTTCCCAAGTTTCATGTGCCCAAACAACCACGGGCAAATCGAAGGCAGCGTTGAAGCGAAAGTTCGGCGCGGTCTGAGGCCGGAAATGCCAGAGGAGAGCCGCAACTGCCAGCAGTTCACCTAGAAGCTTCCCCGTGGCAAGACAAGTTTTCTAGAACTTGCCACCTTGACTTCAGCTGCGGAAAGGTATACCTCATTTTTCCCCAACAGCTAAAAGCTTTGGGGTCTCAGCCCAGATAGGCTCCGGGTCCGGGGCGGCCCTGAGGTAAGGTTCCGCGAGGGTTCCACCAGGGTTCCACCAAGGTTCCACGAGGTTCTGCTGCGGGGTGGCGCGAGCGCTAAAAAGAGCACCGCATGCTGTTGGGGATATCACCTGAGCTTATATTGCCCAGGGGGTTGCACCAAATGAATTGCATGGGGGGATTCCTTAAAAAACAGGTAAGCCTGAATGTACATACGACTTATGTGCTGCCTTTGGAATGGGGTTGCCATGAAACAAGTCGAAGCAGATGCCAGGAGGCCATAGTCCTATACCGATTTGGAGCCAGCTAAAGCAAGAGCCGTGGCAACATAGGTGTCCTTTTCTCAGTTTGGTTGAGAAGCAACGGGCCCTGGTAGACCCAGAGTCATCCAGTTTCCCAAGTGATAGTGACTATCGGTGCCTAGCAACTTTTGAATCGGAGTCCATGATCTTCCTATGGTTTTTTCTTGCTGTCGCTCTGAGCAAGGTTTTTTTTTTGAGGATGTCTTCTTTCGAAGGATCCGCTCTTGGTTACCTGGTTGGTTTCAAAGAGAGTCCAAAAAGAAGCCAACCATTTTGGGGGTCTGCTTATGACACAAATCGGACATGCATTTTCCGCCAGGAGTCCGTCCGCGAGGTCGGTGCTGGGCTGACTGAAATCTCGCTTGGACTCGGGTGATGTTGCGAGCGTGATGATTCAGGGGCAACTGTGGGGTCCCCTGGACACCGAACAGCCACCGAACCATCAAAGCATCAACTCACTTGCCCAGTTTGGCCCTGGAAACAAAAGTTGATGACCTCTTGCGGTCACCCAAAATGGACCCAACAGAGAAACCCAAAAGGTTAAAAGGTCGGCTTTGGGCAAGTGAGTGAGTTCACCACCAAACCACCAAACCTGAAGAAAGAGCCTGATACACAGCTCACAAGCCCACCGCAACGCCAATCGCGAACGCCGGCAACCGATACTCCAGGCCTCCAAGCCACGCGACCAGCCTTTAGAATATTTCACAACCAGCCAACCACGGAGGCACGGAACAACGCTCAAACGGCGCTCGCTCCCCAACCGAAAGCAAAGCTTGAGCCATCAAAACTGGGGTCATTGGAGAGTCCCAACCATAAGTTTGTGCCGAACCTTTGGATGCTGTTGTGTTCTTTGAATTTGAGGTGTTTCGATTGTGCTCCGAAAGTTGTGGGAAGCAAAGTTTCTTCGTGTTGTTGGTGCCTCTGCAAAAGAGGTCTCTTTGCGGCTTCTGGAGCCATCGAAGCGACTGGGGACTTCCTGTCAGCTCAGATGTTTGCTAATGAGTGTTCCAGAAACAGAAGAAGAAGAAGAAGAAGAAGAGGAAGAATAAGAATAAGAAGAAGAAGAAGAAGAAGAAGAAGAAGAAGAAGAAGAAGAGGAAAGACCCGTGGCTTCAAGTTCAGACACGGGCCCAACATGGCACCTGACACTTGGTCCCTTGAGAAACTTGATCGAGGGTTTCTGGGATTCTTTGCAACCAACTTCTTGAGGGGAAATTCTAGGGACCCCTTCAAGAAAACCGCAGGCGGGCCTGGAGGCTGCAGAGGAGGCCCGGGCAAAGGTTCTTTCAGGGAGGGTTCCAAAGGAGGGTCCCGGGACTTTCCCCGGCTGTTGGGAATACCGCCTGGGCTTTTTTTTTAGATGGTGCGGGACTTTAGTAACCACGGTTATGAACCGCTTGCAATGGTTGCAGGCACTCATTGATAGTCAGGGTGATTCACCATTCCCGAGGGGTCCTTGTCCCGGAGAAAACGCTCCGTAAACAAATCGGATGGGCTCGTCAGGGGAGGGTCACGTCCCGTTTTGGGCCGTTGAAACACACCCACAAGGAGCACGACAACGGCATGTCCCATTGCTTGACAGTGGTCAACCATGACATGTTGGGCCAAATGTGATTCTGTTCTGGTCATTTGTCCCGTTGAAAAAAACACATTGGGACATTGAGGGCTCTGCTAGAACACCGGCCGGTTCAGGGTGAGAAGCCAATCGACCACATGAGAGCCCACAAAGCGACGCCTGTTGGGCTGTGTTTGGACTCCTGGGACCCAAGTTGGCCGTGCAGGTAGCATGTGCTTGTCCATGCATTTGTGTAAGTGTACAAGTGTGTGCGTGCGTGCGTGCGTGCGTGCGTGTTGTCTTGTCTTGTCTTGTCTTGTCTTGTCTTGTCTTGTCTTGTCTTGTCTTGTCTTGTCTTGTCTTGTCATGTCTTGTCTTGTCTTGTGTGCGTGTTTGTGCGTGTGCGTGTGCGTGTGCGTGTGCGTGTGCGTGTAATTGTGCCTGTGCCTGTGCGCATCTGAGTGTGCGTGCATCCGGCTGCCCGTGAAGGTCCGGAGCTTGCGCAGGGCCCTGATTTCTGAAGAGGCCGCGTGCGTCGGCGGCTCAACCTCTCAGGGCATTCCTCGCGAGAGTCGAATCCCGTGGACATGTTGGACATGATTTCAAGGGGCCTTCCACCCGCTCCTGGACTGGCCAGGAAGCCTCTGGGAAGCCAAAGAGCGGAATCAACCCGAGGTTGGGGGTCATTTCACCGGTGTTTGGCGTTGACCCAAAGACAAGGTCTCATGGGGTCGCGTCAACCGGCTGGGAATAGCATATCAAACATGGTACTGATCAGTTCCCATGTTCGATTCTTTCTGGCTACTTGGCAATGGATCTTTGGACGTCAACTTTTTGGTTGGCACTTTGCGGATTTTCCGAATTGGACCCACCAAAAGTGAACACCTTTTTGCAGCGGGGGGTCATTGCAGCGGGATCGAACCTTTCCGTCGCTCGGTGCTTCTTTTCCTGGTGGCTCCCAGCCCTTCCCTTAGCAGCTTTTTAGGGTTTAGTGGGGATTTCCATGTCTAGGTCCCCCAGTAGTGCGGTTCCCCTACTAAAATAGACTACAGAAAAAGTTGGTACCCTTATTCTACCCTCTCTACTGGAGGATCCAGATGTAGCCCACTACAAGTTAGTCACTTTTAGCAGGGGGTCTGGAAACAGGAGGCCCAGCTTCTTCTCCCAACCAAAAGTCCAAAAAGTCTCCGCCCTGAGGCACAGGCCAAGGCGGAGCTGGAGGCGCAGCTGCAGGCGGGCGACGTGAGGAGTCGATATGGTTGTGGGTGTCAAAACCGTTTTGAGATCCCATTTTGGTTGGGATTGGTGAATTCACCACCCATTTTAGGACCTATTGTAGTGGATTGGGATGTTCACCGGGGCACCGGGGTTTTGACCCATAGCCATAAAGTCACGGATCCCGCATGCAAAGGTGCACAGAATTCAGAATTCTCACAACAAATATTTGCCTGGGATATTTCGGACATGCAAGATTTTGAAGGCACACTCCTTCAATTCTTTCAGGGCTAGACGCCGGGGCGTTATTGTTCGGTGCGGGGTTTTGGGGCCGCAACCTCGACTGTAAAGATACGGAACCCGCCAGAGAAAACGGAAGCTACGCTTTTTTGGGGCGAATGTTCGGTCCTTCAGTGATGCCCTCAAATCCCGTCTTGTTTCGTTGGGGACCCACCAAAAATGGGAGGAGCCCTGAAAAGCGTAGCCTGTTTCTACCAGGGTCACCGGGCAACTGGGTGAGTGTTCCATTTGGTGTGCCTGGTTTTGGTTGGAGCCCCTGCTTTGATCATTCCAGGAAGCTTTCGAATGTTGCGATGGCTGGAACTTGCGAGTTCGTGTAGTCGAGAGAGGGCAGTCAAAAAGCATGGGCTGCTTGGGTTTTCGGGCAAGCTAAGTGTCATTTGGGTTGTAACCCACTAACGGGGTTAACTCCTCTTCAGGGGCACCCAACGGAAAGAAGCCCCAAGCAAGGATCCTTCCCCAAGAGGAGATTCCTCTATATGAGATCTTTTTGGGATGTGCAGGTCAATTTTCAGACAAAGGGGGAGGGGATGTCACAAACACATCCAACTTCCGACTGGTGGAAGGGCTTGGGACCAAGGTCGGTTTGGTTAAAAACAAACAGATTCTGCCGCTTCAGTTTGGTTCAAATCCGATCCACCGCGTGATTTTTCCACCAAGAGCAAAGGACAACGAGCGTGGGTTAGAACTGGCACTTTATCCAAACACAAACCACTGGGAAGAACATGGCAACTCGAAGGTTTACCGTTTACCCAACACCTCCTAGTCAATATTGCCAGGGGAATTGGGGTTTGGGTGGGCCAATCGATTGTGCAGGTTAGGTATCGATGTTGCGGAACAAACCCTCTCTGTTATTCATATGGAGAATCTGAAAACAGAAGTTTCCTCTGCCCAAAAGTGGCCCTTGTTTCCCCTTGTTTCCCCTTGTTTCCATTTAAAGCAACCTCAAAGGAAGGATGAACAAACACATGTATATATATATATGTATACATAATATATATATATATATAGAAATAATGTATATTTGTATATATATATATATATATACATATATACATGCATATGTGTACATATATATATATATATACACATACATGTACACACACACACATGTACATATATATATATATGTATATATATATATATATATATGTATATATATATATATTCAGGTCTTCGCAATTTCCCCAGCGCAGTGGGGCCTTTGTGTCATTCCCGGGGCCCTTCCTTTTCCCCTCCGTGCCTTTGGGCCAACCGCATGCCCCGCGCGCTCGGAAGGCGGCGGAGGCCTCGGAGGCGGGGAGTCTGCGGCGGCGGCTGGCGGAGGAGAAGGCGAAGAGCCGGGCCTTAGGCGCGGAGCGGGGCGCGGCGGAGCTGGGTGTGCGCTTCCCTGTTCGGGCACAAAGTTTTTGCATTCTTTCTTTTCTCCCTCCCTCCCTCCCTCCCTCCTTCCCTGCCTTCCTTCCTTCCTTCCTTCCTGCCTCCCTCCCTTCCTTCCTCCCTTCCGCCCTTCCTCTCACTTCCTCCTTTGTGTCTGTGTGTGTGTGTGTTCTGGGGCCGGTGCCTGTTGCTCCCGCCTTTCGACCTTTCGAGGGGAGCGTGCCATCCGCTCCGAGCGGCACCGGCAGAAGCTGCTGGAGGAGATCGTGGAGGCACCAGCCGTGCGCTGGCCCCAAAAATCCGCCCCCGTTGGGTGCGCCGGTTCCTGCCCAGGTTCAACCACAAACTGTCAAAATGGCCCAAGCTATCAAAAACATCCATACCTCCTTTGGTTTCCTCTAGGGGGTCGCATCGAGTCTGTATTCTATTGTGCTTCTTGGGGTGCTTGGACATAGCAGTGTATACGTCGGATGCAGATGTGGATGTGACACCTCCATAGCGTTTGTCAACGTGCTGATTCTGTTTGCTTCGCTTTTGCTTGACTCGCGTAGTGTCAGTGCGACCATGTCAAGAGCATCACTGGATTTACACATTCAGCGACAGACAAGCCTGCAAGAGGCGCTTGGTCGCTTGGTGTTGATGTTGGAGTTCCGTTGGGGAAGGAGATGATGTGCCTGTCTGCAGTGCTAGGCAAGGTTGTTGAGGTGCAGAACCATCCGGCAAATATGTTGGAGGCTGGTCATTCCACGACGAGCCTCATATGGAGATGCTGCAGGAAAGAGTGAATGCGAAGCGCAACGCCTTCTACAACCCCTGCCTATGACAATCATTCCGAAGCTGGGTCCAGCAGAGTGCGGCCCACTCACAAAGCTGATTCAGGGGATTTCCATCGTGAAAGAGCCGACTCGTTTCGGCTCTCAGGTGCTGCATCGCATCAACACTCTCAACAAGAAGGGATACCGTCCGGCCCAGGGGCCGACTCGTTTCCCCAGCCCAACTGCCTTCTCGAAACCCGTGCAGGATGGGCAGATGGATGTGGAGTTTGCGTCCCTCGTGAAGGCGCCCTGAGAGAGCGAGAGAGCGAGGGACTTCAAAAAAATTGCCTGGCCACAAGGGTTTCTTCACTGGCAAGTTTTTCGGTTGTGTTCATTTTAGTAGGAGGCTTTCAAAACCCAAGTGCTTGGCTACCATACCAACGGTTGTGAAGTTTTTTGTTTTTTTCCCCCCCGAGGATATCAGTTTCAAGGAGAAGCCATGGGGTCCAAGTCCCTTCACAATCCCCACGTTTTGGGGGGGCCGTGGGTGACACGGCCGTCATGTCATTGGAGATCACGTGGGACTAGTTTTGACCGGAGACCTTTTGCCTGATTTGGCCCGAATTGGCCTTTGGAAGGCTTACCCTCTTTCCAACAATCATGGAAGTGGATTCCAGGACCTTCCCCAAAAGGAGACTAGTCTTGCAAAACCCTTCTGTCAGCTTCAAGGTTGTGGGATCAAGGGTTTGTCCCCACTTCTGTGATACAACGGCTTCTCCCCCTTCACATCACGGGTTAGTTTGGGAAGCCCCTTTTGTTGTATCACAGAAGTGGTCGTTCCCACAACCCTGGTCAGCTACGATTGTTGGAGGGTACTTGTCTCACTGGACTCACAATGCTTTACGCCCTTTCGGGAGCCTTGTTTCAGTCAGGTTGGCTTCCTCTCATGTCCCCAAGTGAGGGGAAGCCTCTCAATGCTAGTAAAAGGTGAGAGGAACAAACTGAGAGGGAGCTCATCTACCAGGGCCATCTATTGTCCCAAAAGACACGCTGAACAAAGTGTTTGTCTCCTTGGCTTCCCCTCAAACCAAGGTGAAAAGGGAGGCACCATCCATCGCACATCTTTTGGGGAAGACCTCAAAACAAATCGGTGGTTGGACCTCATCCGCTTCTTGGGTTTGGTGTCCGTGCGCACCCCGTTTGCGAGGCAGCGGTTGCACCAGTTTTCGACACGATTTGTTTTTGTCTTTGCCTTTCCGCACAGACTGCACACCGTCAGATGTGCGTGCCCAGCCAGCAATCGCATGGGCAGAGCATTGCCTTCAGTTGACGCCGGTGCCGAGCGCTCGCGAGTTGTTTGGCGCGAGGCGGTGGGCCGCACCGCCAAGGCCATCGGCGCCATCTCCCGGGAGGCGGTAAGCGACCGAAGCGAGCGACGCGGGCGCCGTGGACCGGGGGACGGGGTGGCCTTGGTCTGGGTATTCCCGTGGTTCCCGGCCATGCGGTTCCGGTAGCCTTTGAGCTTTTCGGGTTTGGTGGTGGTTTCCGTACCAAACCCAGTAAATTTTGCTAAAAGGTCGACTTTTTAGCAGGGATGTTCTTGGGATCGGGGGCACCCCAAAACCAGCAAAGGAGGGGCAACTGGTCTTTATTGCACATCTGAAGTATTAAACCCATGCTTCACTGCACACACAGGGTAGACCTTTCTGATTTCTGAAAGCAACCGGTTTGTGGTCAAGGTGGCCCTGCTGTCGCTTGTGTCCTTGACTCTATATGCCACAAGCGCAGCTAAACACAGGACATTGGGCAATGCACGCTTTTATGAATTTCCACGGGATCATGTTGGAGCATTTTGCGAACCACACTTTTTCCCAAGCAGTTTTTGGAGCATTTTCCATGTAGCATTTTTATTCATTCCCAACTGGACAACTGGTTGTGAGCACCCCTGCTGTTTGCAGGGCTCCCTATAGTTCCCCTTAAAATTGCTCCCAAAATTTTAAAAGTGCTCCAAAATGCTCCAAATCACAACAAAATCAACAAAACAGTATGTTTTACTTAAGTTTTAGCAGGGTGGAGCAAGAATGTTGCATTTCCTCGAGGTGTTTTTGCATTTTTTCGAATCTGTGGCTTCCCAAACCCCTCCAGGAGCATTTTGGAGCAAACATGTTGCATTTTCTCGAGGTTGTTTCTTAATCATGTTGATTTTGTTTTTGGAAAGGGTTCCCATTGAAAGTCGACCAACCCTAAAAAAATCGGATGCCCTTTTTCTCCCATGAAAATCCACTGGGCATCTGAGCACAGGGATCTCGTTCTCCAGCTCCGCGCTGACAAAGAAGCCGCGAGGCCCCGCGCCTGTCGAAGCTGGCCCAAGCGCCGCTCACGGAGGCCGGAGAAGCCGAAAAGCGAATCTCACAGGTGTCTACTTTTTGTTTTGTGTTGCTCTGTGTCTGTGTCGTTTGTTTTCTCTCTTTTTTTTTAAGAAGTAAGTTTGTTTGAAACTAGATGGCCATGAGAACTTTCCCTTTGGTTCTCTTTTTGACTAAGATTTGAAGTTAGATGGCCATTTGGTCTCCCTTTGGTTCCAAGAATTGTGCCATTCCTTTTCAAAGTTAGTTGCTTCGCTCGACATTTGATGGCCGTTTGCTTTGCCTTGAAAACTTAATCATTGATAGGTGTCCTTGAAAATCAGGGCCATTTGCTTTTCCCATGATTCCGAATGTACCATCACATTGGTGAATTTTGCTTGGATGTTAGGACTTCAACCTTTTGCCAACTATTGGGTTTTCCATTAAACCACTAAAAGGGGAGCAGATTTCGCAACCGAGATCTACTGTTGTCCCAGAAGGACCCCTGGCCTATGCCTCTCCCAACCCGAGCTCCAGGCGCCCTCTGCTCGCTCGCCGCCGCCGCTGCCAGCGCCGGCGCAGGTGCCGGCGCGGCTCGAGCCGAGGCCGGCGTCGCCGAGGCCTGATGTCGGGTGACGGGTGACGGGTGACGGGTGGAATTGTCGTCTTTCTTTTTGAGGGTACCCGTTTTTCAGCTTAGTTTAAAGGGAAACCAAGAGGACAACCACTGTTTCTTTTGGGGGGGTGCCTGAATTTAGTCCAACGCATCGGCATTTTGACTGCGGGCGGTTTTAAGTCAGAGACAGGAGTTGTTTCCCTTGAACCTATCATTACGGGCGTGACTTTGAACATGGTAACTCAATTGGCCAGTAATAGCCTTGTGCAATTGCGTTTAAATAGAGCTGGGGCACAGGGGAATGGATATCAGAGGAATGGCGATAAGGAGGAAACAGAAGGGACAAGGCTGTGTTCCAGAAGCAGCGTTGGGGTTTGCAAGTGTGTTGGGACTGTTGCTCAAGCTTGTGTTAAGTGGCTCGACCGGCGGCAACCTTTAAGTCCAGGCTTCTTTTCCGGGAGCGGCAGATCAAACGCTGGCGGATACAGATTCAGAGCTCAGGGGGAGCCATTGCAGCCTCAAACAGACTATTGGTGACTGATACAGCCGATTGACAAATTCAAGGTACCCGCGCCTATAGGAGCCCCCGCGTTTGGCGCATCAGCAAGAAACACCCGGGAACAGCTGTCGCAGGAACGAACACCCTTCATGTTTGTCAAACTTGGCAGGCATCCCGCCATCTGCGCCTATTTGTATCAGCTTTGGTCCGTCTTCCGCACACAAAGTTTCGAGGTGCACAGCTGCAGCTTGCTGTTGGCTTGCTAGGTGTCTTCCATATAAAGCGCAAAGCTGCAGCAGTGCCCCAGATGCGACACAGGACTTACAAGCATCACAAGCACACAGCTTGCCTAGCTTTCTGCATGCCTGGTTGGATCGCGGCTCAAGAGCTATGCGTGCAAAAGCCAGCGAAACAAAAGGGGCCACTCCCCAGGCGCTAACGCAAACGTGAGGGCCAATCCATCCCCCCCCCACTCCCAGTCTACGTCGGTCACATTGACCATGAGTGTCTCTGTGTGACAGGTTTACATGTGCGCTGCACATGTTGTCGGCACCCGCGCTATGTTAATGATGTCTTGCTGTTGTAATGTCTTACAAGATACAACTGCCAAAAACGCAGGGCTCCTATCGATGCTGGTATCGACATCATGCATTAGTCTAGTTGGTAGGTGGTTTACCGCATTATTCATTGAGTTTCATTCATCCCAATCAACTAGTGCGGGATTTTGTCCATCCACGGTAGTACGCCCATGAATCATTCAGCAGCAGAAAAGCATCAGTACGGCCATACCCCTCCATGCTCCACTTGCTATGGCTGATAAGTAGTGTTGGATTCTGCGCAAGTAGTCGACGCGCCAAGTTCTTCAGCCGGGTGCGCGAAAGCGCACAAAAGGAGCAGCAAACAAACCCTCGGAGACAAAGCGGGGTTCATAACACCCGATGCTTTTGGGGCGAAGTGGGCGTGCCCCCACAAAGCATTCGAAGGAGTCTCCCAGTTTAAGCTCCCTGCCATGGAGGCATGTTGTTCTCTAGTAAAGGTTGCGCCAAAATTCAGCTTCCCTCAAACTGGAGCTGAGTGGTTTGGAGGTGTTCCGGGTGCGAAACCCCATTTACCCTCAAGAACCAGAGTTCTACTCTGCATACAAACCACCAATCGAAACCACCAAACCAAAGGAAACCTGAAAAATTGTTTGCTTCATGGGGTGAGGTGGGGTGGGGGTGCGTCTTAGCCCTTCCCGGGAGTATGTTGGCTTCAGCGCCAAGTGCGAAATCCCGTGGCCCTGCCAATAAAATTCAAGAACCTTCTGCCGCCATGCGTTTGGGTAGAGCAACTCAAGAAAATACTAGGAGTGAGGCGCGTAGGCGGGGTAGCTCTTTGTACTGTACCTCTTTCGGGGTGTTTTGTTTTTCACTGGGACCAAAGTGGCTCCACATGTGGCGTTTCTTGTAAGGAACATCAAAGGGACTGCCAACAAGGTGGTTTCCTGAAATAAGGGAGCCCATGCGCAGAATCTGTTTACACTTCTTCTTCGGCCGTAAACCGAACGCGCAGGTTGACTCGGCTCCCGACTCCGGCAGAACTCGCTGCTGCCCAGAGTGCGACGGGCTCAATGCCCTGGCTCCAAACGATTTTTCGGACTCGAAATGGGCTGCAGGGTCCCTCGGGAGGTTTTTTTTGGAAGGACCTGGCTGTGGGTCAAAGCCAATGGTGCCATTTTGGGGTAGTGGGCCAACTGGGATGTTCACCGAAGGTGCGGACTTTTGACCCATGGCCAAGTGTCAAGCTGAGTTGGTTGTTCGATCCACGGCATGACACACACGATTTCATAAGTCCCAAAATGGGGCGGGCGAGGCCATTCGCCCGCCCACGGCCACCCACCCGGCAACGTGGAAAAGGGCTCATCATGGTGGTTCTCAGCCATCCGGTTGCTTAGGTTTTCAGGCTTTTAGTCGGTTTGGTGGTTGGGTTTCCGAATCTCAGCCACGAAAAGTTCGTCACTGTTAGGAGGGGACCTGAAAGCGGATAGCGCAGACAAGGGAACAGGCCCAAGGGCTTTGGATCGGAGTACTCTCAGGCACCGAGCGAGGTGGATTTGACATAGGCGGGGCGGGGGGGATGCTGAGCCGCGGGTTTCCACGAACGCCAGACACCCCACCCCCAGACGGTCTATGCAAGGGGCATATACCTGTGCTCACGCGGAATGATTGTTTCAGAAGTACCAGGCAGCGGAAAGGGCCAAACGATTTGGAAGGGTGTATACCCCCGTGTTTCGTGGAAACCAGAGAAGACCCCACCCCAATATCTCCAGACAGACACGGTACACGCAGGGAACACAGGCGGTGTCGGCATGTTGGAAAGGGTTGGTCCATAAAAGAACCCGACGATAGCACGTTAAGAGGCAGCGCAGAATGAGCCAGAGTACTCTATGTTGCCGCATCCTACGACAGACATATGTTGCAGGTCGTCTTGCTGAACCTAGTGCTTTGTAAAAATGGTGTCCCAAAAGAGCAAACCTGTACTTCTGTACTGCTGCAGGTCCGAGATTGGTCCAGATTTGGGGCGACTTTCCGCTGGGTGGTTTGCTCGGTCAGACTCATCGCATAACGTTGGCAGAACGATGCTCCAAGCTTAGCCCTCCTTTTTTGGTCGGCTTCGTCACTTCACGATACGAGCGCTCGCGTGTCGCGCCCGTGCGCACTCGGGCGACTGCGTGAATGCGTTGCGTGTGGCACGCGGGTGGTTTCACGTCGGTAGACTTTTGGTTAAGCAGCCCATGGGTTTTAACCACCCCAGCGATTCCATTTGTGTGTGTGTGTTACGGGTAGCAAGGGGACCCACCCGTGAAGCACCCAAAAAAGAATGGTTGGTTACTTGCTGTTGTGGTGGTAACTGGGATCGACTGCGGCGTGGTTCTTAAACACAACCAATAGGAATCCAGGATGAATCCGCTCTGGTTGATGAATGGGGTGCTGCCTTCGAACACTCAGCGTAAGGCAAGGAAGCCCAATGTCATGCTTGGACATATGTGTCAGCTCCAGATATGTCCAAGGGCCCCCTGGGCCCGAGTACTCCACAAGTGGCACCTCTCCAAACATGGGTCTTTTGGAGCACTTA